CCCAAATATTTCAGCACTAACAGGAGATGTGGGCCGGTCTACAAAGTTTTCACCCTGATGAACAAGAGCTTCCTTCACCAGTTGCAGTCCACTCACAACCACAAAACACATGCTTCCAACCAGAACGCTGAACACATTGCCGTATTTTTTTGAAAACTGGAAGGAGAGCGAGAAAGAAGAACTGTGTGTGTGTGTATGTGTGCACGCACACATGCGCATACCTGGTTCTTCTTTGATGCTTATATGGAAGATGGAAACTTTGGTTGCCATCAAATATATCAGGGATATCAGAAATGCTGAAAGGGTTTCCGGGGACTGTACATGGACAGGCCCCCTCCATCCTCCACATGTCTTCTATTCACAAGAGCTGCTGCTTATGTATTTGTGGCAACTTAGCCTCATCTACCACAGAGGGTTGTTGCAAAGATAAAAGGGAAGGGAGGGTAGGACAATGTACACCAATGACTGCTCCCCACATCAAATGGGGGGCGCCTTTTGCGTGGTCGCGCGCAGACCCCTTGGACCTAAGTGGCACCCGGGAGTATATCCTGGCTTCTCTCCCCAGCCAGAGTCCTGGAGGTCTCTGCCTACCTCTGCCTGTTATCCAGTCCCGGCGGGACCTGGCCAGGTAAGGGGAAGGACCACCCTGGCCACACAATAGAGGGAGGGTCTTACCTGGGAATCCTCAGTTGACTCCAGAGCTTCTCCCATCCTGCCCTCCCTCAGTTAAGTTTTCTTTTGCAGGTTAACTTCTTCTTTACAGGTATGCGGGCGCTGCTATGCTAAGGTCACTGTTGAAGGGCCGGAAAGGAATTTTCCTGCATTGGCAGGTTTTACCTTCCCTGTAGCAAAATGTCACAACTTTGGTGGTTTCAGGCCTTTGGCGGAATCCTTTAGTCTACCTTCGCTAATGGGGGGGGGACGTTAAGCGGTGACCCATGCCCCCCCTGTGGCGGCGATCCCAGGGTTCCCCGTTAAAGGGGTTGTAAGAGGAAAGGCATTGGCCATACGCCTATTGGTTGTCATTACTCTCCCTTGTGACGACGGTGAAATGGGGGGCGGGCTCTCTGTTTGACAGACGTTCTCCAAGCCAGCCCAATCGCCACACATTCTGGATAACCCTGATGTTCCCCAGCTCCCTGGCCATGGACTGGGAGGGATAAATGCCCAAGGCCTAAGCCAAGGTCTCCCTACATCTGAAGTTCTAATAAAGTTGTGGCGAATTTTCATCCCATAGCACAGTGTCTTGAGTCATTACTCTACCCGGGGGTCGCCTAGGGATGGGGGGACCATGCAAAACACACAAAATACTTTGCAATCCATAGTAAGCAAAAGAAAGTTGTGGACACAGATTTGGTACAAATAACTGTTAGGTAAAACAGATCCTCTGGGTTCAGAGGTAATACACATCTGGATACCAGATGCTGGGAACAAACAAACAGAAAGGCATTTGTCTTGCGGCCCCATGTGTGGGCTTCTCACAGACATCCAGCTGAAGCAAGGGTCTTGCATGCCTTTCCAGCACAAAACAGGGGTTAACTTTGCTCATCTTTGGTTGTATGGTACCCTGAGTGAGGCCAAAATCTGGCGCCTTCAAATGGATCTTCTCAATTTTGGCCCACTTGGCTTGGCACCCTAAATGAAGGAACCGACCCCACCACCCGAAATCTGGGGGTGCAATGTTTTCAACTCATGCCATGGCTCTTTCCTTCATCCTTACCTTTCATACTGCATTCTGAGGATTCTTGAAATCCATATGTAGCAAATTACCCAAAAAAGGAAGACACATGGGCCCTGGGGGGAAATTCCTTGGGCGAATCTTTTTATTGAAATCAGCAAGAAGTAGAAATGTAGCCAGAAACACCAGAACAACCTGCAGGGACAAGGCCTCCCAGAGGACAGAGAGAAGCTGGAGCAACATTCTTCTAGCCTGGTTTTGTCAAAACAGATTGCTGTGTGTGGGTGGAAACCCAAATCTCAGGCAGCTAGAGCAGTCACACCTGTGTTTACTGTGGAGTTGAGTGGCAAAGAAACCCTTGTTCCTGCCCCAGTGCATGTGGAGCATCAATGGCTGCAAGCTACAACAGCATGGAGGTCTGCTGGGGGAGGTCAAGTATGAAAGCACCCAGTCACTAAAATGTTGCTGTGGAAACCAGAGGCTCCCACCTTTAGGGCCCAGGGGTACTTCTGAAACTATTGTGGGGACCAAGAAATACCTGTATTTCACAGAATAAATAATAGTGATGCTCAGAAAAATTCCTTCCCCAGAACAAAACAACAAAATAACTTTCATTATTATTCATCTTCTTGTGACCAGGTGGACAATAAATTCATTGTTCTTTAAAACCCAGTTTGAATTGTTAGTTTCAGTACTGCCAAACGTGGGGTAAGGAGCACATCCCGTTGCATTATTTGAGAGATTTCTATAAGCTCCTTCTCTCCCAAATCCACTTGTATCAATACATGCCCACCTGGTGACACCCACCATCCAACAGAGGGAGGAGGAAACTGATGCAGTGTGGGTCAAATACCGTATTTTTTGCTCTATAAGACTCACTTTTTCCCTCCTAAAAAGTAAGAGGAAATGTGTGTGCGTCTTATGGAGTGAATGTAGGCTACGCAGCTATCCCAGAAGCCAGAACAGCAAGAGGCATCGCTGCTTTCGCTGCGCAGCGATCCCACTTGTTGTTCTGGCTTCTGAGATTCAGATTTTTTCCCTCTTGTTTTCCTCCTCCAAAAACTAGGTGCGTCTTATGGTCTGGTGCGTCTTATAGTGCGAAAAATACGGTACCTGGGTGTCAAATACCAGCTGTACAATACTTTCAAAGATAATTCCCTCACAGAAGCAAAGATTGATTTATAAGGCAATTTCCACCACAAAACCTCCCAGTCTATATCACTGAGCGAAAGCTGTATATTTTGTTCCCAGCACAACTTCTAACCAGCAGGTCCACCTACAGCGGCATCCAATATAATTTTAGAAAGAACTGAGAGTAAGCCTTTATTATTCAATAATAGTTGTTCAAAGGCCTTAAGACTCCATGTTCCTTCTCCCAAAGAACACCACAGCAGAGATTGGTTCAGGCCAAGCATACATCAAGCCCAAGACTCTCAAAGAACTGCAGGCACAATATCCCCAGGAAATTTCTGCTTGAATGTTTTCAACTTGACACAATAGTACTGATGGAAATGGAGCATACATCTTTTGACATTCTCCTCTGCCCCTGCCCCTGTGAGTGCCAGCAATATGCACTCCCTGACAGCCAAATTGCCACTTTTAACTATTTTCATGGAAAACACTTTGCAGACTCAGTTTTCACCTTGTTATCCAGCATGTTTATTAAAGAACAACAAAATTGTTTTTTGAAAATAGTAAAACCTGGGGAATATTCATTGTCCACCATACAACTCAAGAGTTCTATGCTTAACCCACCAATTTTACTATATTTAGAAGCACATTTAAACTCTGCCTTGGGGTTTGGCCCAACAATACAGAACAGAGATAATCTGTGATTTAGAAATTAAGTGGTTGTTAGCTGTAATGAATATGCAAATAAGAAAAGAAAAGTCAAAATTTAAATAGAAATTAGGGGAAGGATTTGCTGAAGAGAATTGATTAGAGACTGGAATGCAGAAAGGGGAGGTATGAGGAGGTCGGGAAAGTAAGTTTTATGAATATAAGGGAATGAAGTTATACTTGTGATTGTATGTTTGTAAATTGTATGATTGTAAATTATGACAAAACAAAAATTGTGGTATTTACTAGAGCTCGCCACACATTTAGATGGTCTTTAGATGAACACAAAATTGAACAATGTCTTTTCTTTAAATATCTTGGTATCACTTTCCAAGCTACATCTAGCTGGCTTGCCCACTTCAAGACTGTAGCCCTTCTAACACGTAGGACAATTGGTGCTCTGCTCAGCTTTTTTTATTCGAGGGGAGGGCAACTGGTGACCCCGGCACTAAAAACTTTTGTTGGGAAAGTGATTCCCCAGATGTTATACAGAGTAGAACTCTGGGGATGGAATCAGAAGCTGTTAGAACGGCTTGAAATCTTCCAAAATTTTTATCTCAGAAGAATTCTAGGCCTCCCTCAGAGTACTCCGGCAGCTCTCCTAAGAGTGGAAGTAGGATTACCTTCTGTGTCTGCCAGGGCCCACTTAAGATTCCTGCGTTTTTTCACCAACCTCATAGATGCCCCGAACACCTTATTGGCTAAACAAGCCTTTGTATCATTACAAAATAATACCACTTGGCATAAAAATCTACTAGACATTCTATCCAGATACAACCTACCTGAGTTTAATACTCTCAAATTGTGGAGCCCTGATAAAGTTCGGGAATGGATCTTTGAAAAAGACGACTTTTGGGACTCCACTAAGATAAAGAACTCTGGGTTTTCCTACTGGTTCCCCCGAGTAAAAGCAGTCAAAATCTGTGCCAACTACTTGGTGGAGATCACTGATCCCACCCTTCGGAGAGCTTTCACTATGGCACGGTTTCAAACATTGCCAACTGCTTATCTGACCGGTAGATACACAAAAACCCCAGTAGAACATCGTTTATGTCCTTGCCTTATGAAAATTAAAGAGGATCTTACACATTACCTCCTCTATTGCCCCATTTATTCGGGCTTTAGAGACGCATTGCTGCAAATTATACCCAACTCTATAACCAGTCCTGAAGATAGAGTAAAATTTTTGTTAGTTGATGCAAACCCACGCATTACCCATGTGGTAGAGGTTTTTGTGATGAAGGCCATGAAAGCCAGGGAAAGATTTATGGACGACAATGTAAAGACCCCTTCATCGTCTGTTTAACTCGTTGCTCGTTTTCCCTCCTTTTCTATTTTGTGGGAAGAAGGTTTTGTTGGCATAGTATGTAATGAATTTTAATATTTTTAACTATTGTAGTGTTGATGTTTGTGCACAGGCATGGTCCTCACAATAAACGGATTTTTTTTTGTTTCTTCCATGTATTTTTTTTTGGGGGGGGTCTTTTTGTTGTTGTTTTAATGTCATAAATTTTTTGAAAATTCTAATAAATATCTTTTAAAAAAATAGAATTTGGGTCCTCAACAATGAAACAATATTATTTGCATTCATACACGCCCCCGAGAATCATGGGAAATGTAGTTTACCCTTCAGAGAGCTACAATTCCCAGCAGCCTTAAGTTATAGTTGCCTGAATTCCTTGAGGGGGGAAATGTGAATTGAATGCACTTTTTTTAAAGGTACAGGCTGCAATCCTAACCTGCTTACTTGGGTGAAGTCCTAATCAATTCTGGCTTAACATATTTTGTATTAAGCCACAGGCGTGTTTCTGCCCCACAAACTAATCCAACTTTTTAAAGAAATGGCAATGCTATAAGATGGGTCCCTTAGCGAGAGAATGCGCATATCCTGTATGGTAGGGGAGACAATACCAGACCCACCCTAAATTCACGGCTTAATGTCTCATTCTTTGGAGCCTGGAAAGTGAATTTCTGAATTAGGGCAGTGAAGAAAAGAAAGAGCTCGGTCCTCGCCAACTGCTCTCCCAAACAAGCTCGCTTTCCTGGAAGAGAGGGAGAAAGAGACTTTTTCAGTGGAGAACTTTTGCTACAGTAAACAGCTGCACAGTTTAAAACAACACTGAGAGAACAAATACTTTAAAACAGTATGTTGTTGCAAAATAAAGATAGAAATAAGTCCTCTGTATTCCCTAGTGAAGCAAATGGGAACACTGAACAAATATGATCATGGTTTTTGAGAATTTGGAATAGATACATTTCAATTAACATAAATTTCTCTCATAATCTCAAGATTAACAGAACAAAGGTGAAGTTAGAACAACATTATGTCAAACTTAAACAAAATGAAAAAATGGGTAAAAATTGGAGACTTAATAGTGGAAACGTATAATATGAAATAAGATTTGAAAGAAGTCGAGGTATTGCTGAATAAGATTTTGTAAAAGGGAACAATTTCATGTTTATTTTATTAGGAATCTTCCTAATCTGCATATAGCTTATCTAAGGGTGTGGCAAACAGAGTTAGTTGCTCAAAATCCAGATGGAAGTAGGTTTCTGTTCTAGGGCAGCTGAGAAAGGTCCCAGTAAATATTCCCTAAAAAAATCCAAACTGCTTGCTTACTGGGTGGAGGGGGCAGAGTATATCAACACCATTTCATGTAACATCCCACCTCCCATGGCAGCCATTTTGTGACATGCACACAGAGCACTTGCTCAAAATCCTAAATGTGACCACTGGTCCCAATAGGGTGGTAACCCCAGCAATACACAAGGCTCTCAGCAACCAAATCACCATCATATTGTCACTGTTGCAGTTCTGATGAGCAGCCCATGAACTTTTTTACCTGCAGAGAATGGCAAGAACGCTTCCCTTTTCATGAACTGATCATTTTCCAGGAAATGGCCAGGATTAAACTCATTAGGTGTTTCCCACTCATCCTTGTCAAACAGCACAGAGGTCAAATTGGCGAACATTATGGTTCCCTGGCAAAGGAGAAGCAGAGAAGAAAGTAGATAAAAATGACAAGGCGCTTTCGAGTACAGTGGTACCTTGGGTTACAAACACCTTGTGTTACAAATACTCCACTAACAAGGAAGTAGTACCTTGGGTTGAGAACTTTACCTCAGGATGAGAACAGAAATCACACAGTAGTGGCGTGGTGGCAGCGGGAGTCCCCATTAGCTAAGGTGGTACCTCAGGTTAAGAATGGTTTCAGGTTAAGATCACACCTTCGGAATGAATTAAGTATTCTCTTTGAAATTATAGCAGTACTAAGCCTCTATCCCCTGACAGAGCAAAGATATGTTCTGAAAGCAATATTTACTTCTCATTATTAAGTAATTCATCCAATGAAGTCCCACAAAAGCACAGTTCCAATATAGATTTTAAAAGACATTCAAAGTCAGGTTGGGAATCAATATGGTTTCCTCTCAAAGAAAAAGAAGAGAAGATAGTAGATTAAACTGGCAGAGAACTCTTTGTGTTTTTATCTGTGCAACTATCTACAGCAGTACTGAGCCTCCTGGATCCAAGTCCAACCATTCTTGCCTATTGCTCATGCTGGCTCAGGTTGGTAAGAGTTGGACTTGAACAACATCTGGAGGACCTCATGTTGGCCAACCCTCATTTAGAACTCTGGCTTCAAGTTTTTGTATCTTGAAGGAAGAGGAAAGGAAAGTAAGAATGGTATACAGTGATACCTCGTGTTACAGATGCTTCAAGTTACAGACTCTGCTAACCCAGAAATAGTACCTCGGGTTAAGAACTTTGCTTCAGGATGAGAACAGAAATCACACAGCAGAGGCGGGAGGCCCCATTAGCTAAAGTGGTACCTCAGGTTAAGAACAGTTTCAGGTTAAGAACGGACCTGCGGAATGAATTAAGTTCTTAACCCAAGGTACCACTGTATCATCTTAATACTTACTTTGGGAATATGAAACCCAGCGAGTGTAGTGTCCTTAGTTGTCATCCGGGGCGAATTCGCAGGCACAATGTTGCTTATTCTTTGAATTTCATGAACAACCGCATTGGTATACGGCATGCTGTCCCTGTCATCCACTGCTGGCTGGCGAGACTGGCCAATCACAGAATCTATTTCTGCTTGGACTTTTGCTGCAGAGAAAAGAAAATCTGCTATCAATACAAGGAGAACAGATATAAACCAATATCGGCAAGGAAACTGCATCTTGATGTCCCACCACTGAGTATCCAGTAGATGGTGACAAGGGATAGACCCTCCTGAGTAGCGGTATCTCATTTGTGAAATTCCCTTCAACTGAAAAAGCACACAGGACTTTCACTAGTCAAGTTTCAGCAATGCCTTAAGACTTCATTCTTTTATTGAGGGGAATGTGTGTTTTCTGACGAGTCCACCTGAAGCTGCAGTATTCCGACTGTAATGAAAGGCAAATGAGCCAACTACAGTTCTACCTTGAATTTCTGGGTATATGGCCATGTACAGCAGAGCCCAGCGCAGGGTTGTAGAAGTTGATTCTGTTCCAGAAGAAAACAGATCCAGTGTTGATTGTAGGAGGCTTTCTTCATGGAAACTGGAAGGGGCATCCTCCTTAATGCAAAGAAAATGCACCAGGAAGTTCAGCAGTCATTAAAAACACCATCCTACTGCCAGACCCACATGGCAAGAGATCACCAGGGGATTCAGTGACTCTAATCCTGCATCTAGGGAGGGCAAGTCAACAGTCCTGTGAATAACTGATGCTGGCATAAAGTTTGGGTTTGTTCTGGTCAATAATTCCTGGTCTGGGTTTATTCAGGCAACTGAATCCTTTGGTCATGAGATGCCTTCACTACAGTGATTCTTTTAGTCATGTCAACTATTTGCTCTCACAAACCACCGACTAGTGGTGAAATCCCAGCAGTGAACAAGTGGGGTGGTGTCTCCCCACAAAATACATGACCTCATATTCTGTGCATGCAGAAATGTATTTTGTCTGAAGTCATAAATTCAACAGAAAGAATATGGTCAGGCACTAAGGACCATTCAGACAAGCCACGTGACTAGTTCTGGTTTTTAATATTGCTTCTCTGCCTTCTACTACTGTTTTGTTATTAAAGATACATACTTTTTTACCTTTTCATCTCTCACCTTGGCCATTTCATTTAGGTAGGCGTCAATGAAGTCTCTGGGTTCAGATGGGTTCCAGTCTTCTTTGTGTTTTTCAATGATTTCTCTCACAAAGGATTTCACCTGCCCCCATTTTTTAAAAAGTGTCTGATGGGGCCCTGGCAAGTGCTTCATAACAGTAGGAAATACATCATACAGCTGAGGAAACAAACACTAATATCATATATGTGAAGGAAAAACCCTCTCAAAAAAGCATTCACATCATGTCGTTGTCATGGGAAAGGAGCTAGCAGTAATAAAGGCTGGTGTGCACAGGCTCAAAGATGGCAGACTCTCTTGGAACCTGAGCAAATATTGCACTCACCACTGCTTACGATGGTACCCCATGGCAATGTCTTAACTTCTTGGTTAGAATGTACAGATTGCAAATCAAATGGCATTATTGTGGTTAGTTCTACGAACACAACTTGTAATTCACTGATTGACTTCTCAAGAAGATGATTGCCATCATTTGAAAAAGGCCTTTCTCAATGCCTGCTCATGTCATGAATATGTAGAGTTTCCCTTTAATGTTATGCATCTGCATGGGGCTTCCATTCACAGATTAGAACAGGTTTGTGTCAGATCAAGTCACACCCTGTTCACATACACATAGATTTTATTCAGTCACACAGGTGACAGCCCTCCTATTCGTAATTTCATTTTCTTTTTGCTGCTGGATCTCGTGATCCACTGTTTCCATTCCATAGTGATAGGAGTGTGGGAACAGAACTCAGACACTGTACTTCCATTCTATGTGCTTTTGTACTTTTACTCTTTGTTCTCTGCTTTCGGACAGAGGAGACGTGTGAAGCTGCTGCTCACACTCAGCCATGTTTGTTGTTTTGATCTTTTGTAAATAAAGAAGCTTTTTGCGATGCCAAATACCTACAGCCTCACTTCTTTGCTGATAATCTGCTAATGCTAAGAGCGTGCCCACAGCTCCACTGGATGTGGGTCACTGGACACCTGCGTACGAGGAACAGATATACGCATACCTCAAGCCACTTAAAAACACAACCTCTGCTGTAATACACATTACAATACTAAAGTCTTTAGTGCCTTGATAAAAAAAGCTAGAAGGCAAAGGAATATGGATGAGTCAAGAGACTTGAATGAATAGTAAGGGAGAAAACAGGAATCAGAACATGAAGAAACAGGAGGACCCAAAGCAAATGATTGCACAGTCAGCAAGAATGTGGGAATGTGTCTGGAATCAAAGCAATTCTGTTGAACTCAAAGAAGACCTACCACACTCCAAAAACTTCCCTGAATATGGCACGCCTCATCAAGCAAGTGCAATAACTTATGGAAACGGCTGTCATGGTAATCAAAGCGGTCCCCAAAAGTGATGGAACAGATGATATTTGAAACAGCATTATTAATCTGAGATTGAGGGTCAAATGGCTGCCCTGGAGAGGGAGAGAAAATGGTGCAGAAGGAATTGAGGTGCTTCTAGCTTCCATGTATCAAAAACAGTAGGCGGGGAAAGTGGTTGGATGTTGATGAGGCAGGATTTGTTTTAGCTGAAGAAATCATTTCATATTAACATTATATCTTGTAATTAAACCTGGGACACTCAGGACTCTGAGGCCCATTTATATTTATTCTCCATAGGCAATGATTATTCTGCAGTATGGTGATATTGATCTGAGAGGCAGGAGGTCAGGAAAGGGCATTTTTGTAACAATGCCTGTCAAAAAGGATAAGGACCATCCCCATCAGAGACAGTATAGAGACACACTGATATACCAAAAATATTGCACTTCAAACCCTACTCTATTTGCAACGTTGGTTGTCAAAATTATAAAAATCTGCAGATATCCTCAAAACCCTTATTCTGTTCTAGTTCAGGGGCTTTTAGCTCCCATGGCAGGTTCCCGCACAGAGCTTCACACTAGAACTTTTCTGCACCACAATGAGCCTCTGTGGAGCTTCCTATCAACACCCCCTTCGCCATCGCAGGGTCATTCCAGTCCAAGCAGAGCTACATTTGTGTGAAGAAATAATGCCAGAAAGCTTCTCACCCTAGCTGATGAAGTTTTGACCTAGTTCATACAAAGTAGCAACTTAAGGTAAGATGGGCCACAGGATTGTTGACTTTGGTTCTCACCTTTTTCAGCTTCTATTGCTTCGTTTAAGTAACGGCTTTCCTCCTGTATTCTTTCTTCTAAAGACCTTTTGCCCATACCAAAGTTTCTGAGTGTTGATAAGGCAAATCGTCTTTGTTGTTTCCAGATGAGACCATTAGAGAAGACCAGCCCTAGATAGGAAGGAGTAATAAGTACGTAGAACAAGTACCGTAAGTAGATTTAGCAATCCTGTTAATTCCAAGATGGACTCCCCTCTGCTTTCCATTATTCTGCTTGCCTGCTCATGACATGTTGGAAAGACTGCAAGGCATTAGAAACTAGCTAATTTGTGCTGTTGGCTTTTATCTGGTTCTCTGAATTCTGCTGTTTGCTGTTACTGCTGTTTCATTGATGCTTTTTGTGTGTTTCACTGTTTGGGTAGATTTTTTAATACCAATTTTATTTTGTCCTGTGAAATACTGTGGGAACTCTCGATAGAAAAGCAGCATTAAAAAAATACTGACAGGTGAAAAAGTCATGCAGTTAATATATTTTGTTCCTTCCTCTCCTTAAGCCACTCAGGCTTTCTTTTTTCCTGGAATTAACTGGTTTAGATTTAAAATGGGGGTCCCACTCTAGCCCCTGCTGTAATTATTCACACCCTTCCTTTCCTCGTGGTTAATAGATTTATTTTCTTTTTTATTTTTGTTTCATTTTGCTATGTTAACGTCATTGTCCCTCCTTAGGTTGGCTTGTGAACTGTAATCCTTTTTCAGGATTTGCCCTATAAGTAGATAAATGACTATGAAGAAGATTTTACCTGTTCCTTTCATGCTTAAGCACTAACTATTATTCCATCTCTACTAGTGATGGGACAGGAATTCAGTTCATCTTGAATTTAAATGTAACCTTACTTCAGTCTCACTTGCTGAAACAATGAGCAAACTGGAGTGTTACTGATGTGTAAGTGTTTCAAACTGAAGAATGGAAAAATGAAGAACTGATTGAAAGAAAAACCGACAGATTCCTCCATCCATAATAATGCCAGGTTCTTATTTACAAGCTGTTTATCTTCAGTACTCAATACTGAATGGTGAGTTCAGTTAATTTAAACAGTTTAGTAGGTATACTTTTATGACACAGCTTACTACTAGTAGTTTAAAGATGCAAGGAATGAAAATGAAGATTAAGGAAAGGTCTAACAATGAGTCCTGAATATTTAAACTTGAGGAATAATCTAAAAGGTTCCCCAATCAATGCAGACCATTACAAATAAAAAATAAAAAGGAATTATTTAATTATCTAAATAATTGACAACATTAAAAGAAACTTACCAGATGACCCATATATTCCCTGGATACCAGGACTACTTGGTCGATCTACAAAGTTTTCACCCTGATGGACAAGAGCCTCTTTCACCAGATGCAATCCATTCACAACCACAAACCTCATGCTTCCAACCTGAAGACTGTAGACATTGCCGTATTTTTCTGTAAGCTGAATGGAGATTGAGGAAGAATGTAAGAAATGATTTATCCTCTCTCTATATTATATATTAATTTGTCTGCTTAATGCTTCTTGAATGCCTATATGGAAGAAGGGAACTTCTTTGATTGCCATCAAATATATCGGGGACATCATAAATGCCAAAATGGTTTCCAGGGTCTGTACATGGACAGGCCTCCTCCATCCTCCACCTGCAATGTATTCACAAGAGTTGCTGCTTATTTGCATGTAGTAACTTTGCCTAGTCTACCACACAGAGTTGTTGCAAAGATAAAAGTGGGGAAGGTAGGACAAGGAGCAACAAAACATACAAACACACACAAAAAATACTCTGCCAACCACGGTAAGTGAAATGCAGTTGTAAGATCCAGATTTGTTACAAATAACTGTAGAATAAAATAGATCCTCAAAGTTCAGAGGCAAAACACTTCTGGATACCATATTCTGGGAACAAACAAAAAGAAAGGCATTTTTCTTGGTGCCCCACATATGGGCTCCTCGCAGACATCAGGCTGACCTCTCTCAGAATCAGGATGCTAAACCTGGAAGCATCTCCACCTGCTTCTCCAGCCAGGGTCTTACACTCCTTTCCAGTGCAATGTAGGGGCATATTTTGGTAGTATGGCACCCTCAGAGTGACCAAAATCTGGCACACATAAATGGATCTTCACAATGATCGATCCTCTCAATTCTTTGCCCACTTGGCTCAGTGCCCTATGCCAGGGAACCATTTGCACCACCCCAAATCTGGCACAGCAGTGTAATATTTAATTCATGCCATAGGGTTTTCCTTCATCTTTACCTTTTGTAATGAAATGTGAGGCTTCTTGAAATCCACATGTAGCATATTACCCAGCAAAGGAAGAAGCATGGGTCCTGGGGGGTAATTCCTTGGGCGAATCTGTTTCTTGTAATCAGCAACAAGTAGAAATGTAGCCAGAAACACCAGAATGACCTGCAGGGACAAGGCCTCCCAGAGGACAGAGAGCAGCTGCAGCAGCATCTTCAAACCCACCTAGGTGTTCCTTTTGCAGATTGGTCTGCTGTCTGTTGAGGGAAACCCGAATCTGATCCCACTAGAGCAGCCACACCTGTGTTCTTGGCTAATGCACCTGTAGAAATGAGAGCAAAGTCTGCATATATAGCTGTACATCATGCCCATAAAGAGGCAGGAAATGACCTAATGAATGATTCCACCAAGCAGGAAAAAGAGAGTGGGGAAGAGCGGCAATCAGCATTAAAATAATTCCTTCCTATTTTCACTTCTTTGGAACAGCAAAGGTTAATTTCCTTCATGACATTTCCAAGAAGGGTTTTCTCCCCGTGCAAATCAAAGCACTGTCAATAAAGAAAATAAAAACTTACACTAAGCAGGATGCCTTCTGCTCCTGAAAGGTTTGGATCAGGGGTAGTTTCAGCAACTCTGACCTCTGGCTAAGGAGGCCAGAGGAGTCTATCTGCTCGCCCTCTGTTCAATATTGCATAGATTATATTTTGTTTTGGCAACAGTATGACTAGATCTGGGACTGGGAACCAGCACCTTTCCCGATATTTTCGGTCTCCAACTCCCAGCAGCCCCAGCGTTCCACGGACGTTCCACGGACCCCTGACAGTTGCTGATTGATGGCTGCACGGTGAACGCGGATTCCTGATATTTTTGGTCTCCAACTCCCAGCAGCCCCAGCCAGTATGGCCAATAGACAGGGATGATGGTAGAAGGATCATTCAGAGGGCCAGAGCCCTCTAGTACTAGGCAGTTTTAGCCAGCAGCAGACCATGCAGAAGGGAAGAAATTGATGCAATGCAAATGCATTGCCAAGAGCACCAGATTGGCTCCATCACTGCAGTGTTGCTTCTCTCCCTCTCATAAGCAGAAGCAACTCAGCTCTTGTGAGTTCCATTGAGCGCTACCATATCATGTAGTACTAGTCTTAGCCAGGGCTTTTTTCCCCCAGCCAGAACTCACCAAAACTCAGTTCCGGCACCTTTCATACAGAGGTGTAGGAAGGTCAGGTGGTACCTGGTGCGTAACATTTCTTGTCACCCCCCCCCCCAATTGATTGATTGATTGATTTTTGCCTGCAGAAATGGTTTTATGTTATTTCATGTTTTCTTACAAAGGAATGTGGATTCTGAGCCTCTGATAACAAGTAGGTGACTATGGACAGATACTTATATCTACAGGATGGATTGTGTTATTTTATTTATTTGCAGAGTTAATATAAACAAAAGCAGCACTTGAATATTTAGTTGTCTTCCTCTTCTGTTACATTCTTGCAAAATTTCTGGAAAACAATTTAAGTATTTCCCTTTGGACGTCAGGATATCTACACTGATTTATATATTGTTGAAAGTATCCAGCTATGCCCTGTCCATCTTTATGCTCAAACAAAAGGAAACACAATGGGGGACTTCCGCTTTTACCACAGCTGCAACAGCTGTGAGCTCTGACTGCAGTAAGCAGGTCAGGGCATACACCGGTACTGTGAGGGGCAACGTTTGGCTAAACGACCCCTGCAAAGGCTTGGAAGGAAGCTCAAGTCAAAAGGAACTTCGGCAGCGTCTTTTTGGAGTCCCGGCACCCCTCGCCAAAAGAAAAAAACAACGGCTGAGGTGGGGGAGAATCCAGGCACAGAGAAGAACAGCAAACAGACCGGTGAAAAGCCTCACATCTCTGAAGCAGCGACAAGATGGTAAAATCTCTATTTCTATATTAAAATAAACGTAAAGTGGTGGCAGCAGCAATAAAACCTAAAAGGAAATAAGATGAAGGGGGGAAAGGGAACTCCAGGGGGAAATCCTCATGGAGTGAGTAAACCCAAAACAAAATAAAGAGTAAAAATAGCGGAGGAGGAGTAATGCTACCACAAAAGTAAAGGGAAGACAGAAAAATGGGGAAAAATATGGAGAGAGTGTAAAGAAATCACTCAGATTGCAATCAAACTATTTGAAAAGCACACTATCTGAAACGGACTTACTACAAAGTGCAAAGCAGTGCAGGCTGCCTGTTATTGGAGCTGGGTGGAGTGAAGCAGCTGCTTTGAAGCTGAATGTCCTTGAAGGAAAGATAAGGGCAAAGGAATAAGGAACGCTGTGGGGGAAAGGAGGGGAATTTAACAGATAAGATGGCATCGAGGGCCTGAAGAAGCTGAGTAATTATCAAGAAGGAGGAAGGAGGAGGAAGTGATGAAGACAAAATAGTAAAAGAGAGGATTAAAGGAGGGCAGAAGCTGGCAAACTGAGTAAATAAGAACACAGTGGACAAAGTAGGAAAAGCAGTAATAAAGGAAAATTGAAGTAATAGAAGGACATCTGGTGGTTGAAAAAGAGAACGCAAAATGTCTCATGCAATTAAAAAACAGATGACTGGAACTGGAAGTCAACAGCAACAACTAAGAAGAAACTCAGGCCTTGAAGAAATGGATTTGAAGGAGCTTATTATTAGTTTGAAATTGGACGTGGGAAGATTGAGAAAAGAGTTGGAAGAAAAAATCAACACAATTGATGGGAAATTAGAAAAATTAGAAAACACAATGAAAAAAATGAAAAAGAAAATGAAGAAATAAAGAAAAAATTAACAGAAGTCTTAGAAGGAATGAAGTAGACAGATAAGAAAATACAAGAAATTAAGAATAAAAATCAACAAATGAAAGAGATGGTGAAGAAAATTAGCAAAGAACAAAGAAAAGAAATGGTCAAATTGAAAAAGGAGATGTAGGAACAAAAAGCAATCCAGGAAGCTACTGGGGATGCGCTAGCAATGATACAGATGCAGATTAAAGAGAAGACCTTGAGATTCAGGAATGTTCCAGAAGAGGAGAAGGAGGATATTTGGAAGAAGATGACTGAAACTTTAGCAAAGTGGCTACATTTACAGGATAAAGACATAATAGAACAGACAGAGAAAATGTTCAGAGTGAACTCAAGGAAAGCAAAAATGAACAAATGGCCGGCAGACTCCCTCATTGTATTCACATCAAACTGGATGAAAGATAAGATCCTCCAAGCAAAGAGTAAGAACAAATTAACCATAGATGGAAAGGAAATAATAATTTTACGAGAAGTCCCACCCAGGTTGATAAAAAAGAGACAGCAATTCCAATTTCTAACAAAAGCACTAAAGGCCAAATCAATATCCTTCAGATGGGAATACCCAGTGGGGATTTCCTTCAATTTCAAAGGAAAAAGAAGACAATTTGAGACATCTGAGGAAGCAGATATATTTTGGAGGAAGTATCGAGGAGAATTAGGAGGAGGGAAAAGCGAAGTAAGAAATGAGGAAGGAAGGAAGGGAGAGCTATTGGATGAGATGGAAGAAGAAGAAAGAGCTCAGCAAAGGGTGGAAGGATAAAGAACTATGCTAGTGGTAAATAATCAGACCAATAGCTATTACAAAATCCTTCTCCTTCGCCACTGCAGATAATTTAAACTCTTTCTGCTAACTTTATAATTTTTTAACTAACGAAGAATGAAATTCAAATTGTTATCTTGGAACGTAAATGGTCTAAACAATAGGAGGAAGAGGCAGAAAATAGAACGTATCTTAGAGAGGCAGAAGTGGGACCTTGCTTGTTTACAAGAACCCCACATCAATACTAAACATAAAAGATTATTGGTAAAACCAAAGTTAGGGGAAGAATTCATAGCATCTGATGTAAGAAAAAAGAGGGGGGTTGTAATGTATGTTAAAATCAAATACGAACCAGAATTGTTATATGAAGATAAAGAGGGGAGGATTGTAATAGTCAAAATATCACTAGAGGGGGAACCAATTGTGGTAGCGGGAATCTATGGATCAAATAAAAGAAAATCAGAATTCTATGTTAAAGTAAGATCACTATTAATGGAATATATAGATATGAAAATTATTGTGTTAGGAGATTTAAATGGAGTAATGGAACCAGAATTGGATAGATTGCAGAAGAAGGGGGGGGAGGAATGAAGGGAAACTGCCAAAAAGCTTTGTGGAAATGGTAAAGATTTTTGATTTAGTGGATATATGGAGATATAAATATCCTGTTGCAAAGGAGTTCACATATTTCTCAGAACCAAAAAATTATAGTCGAATCGATAGTATATGGATTACTAAGGATATGACAATTGAAGCAGAGAATGCCGAAATATTACCAAAAACTCTTACAGATCACAATCCAGTATCATTAACTCTTAAAGGAAAAGAGGAGAAAAGGGGGGGAAAGGTGGAGAATGAATGTTTTCTTATTAAAAAACCAAAAAGTAATACAAGGAGCCAGAAAGTTGATGAAGGAATATTTTGAAAACAATTGGAGGGAAGGGACAGATGTTAAAACAGTGTGGGATGCTGGGAAGGCAGTTATTAGGGGATATTTCATACAACAAAACTCAATAGCATATAAGAATAAAGAAAAAAAGAAAAGGGAGCTTTTAGAAGAAATTAAAAGGAAGGAAAAATTGGCCTATGCAAGCAAAAATAAAGAGAGATTAAATTAGGAAATTAAATTACTGAGAGTAGAATATAATAAAATTATAGAACAGGAGGTAGAACAACAAATCAAATTTTGGAAATATAAAAATTTTGAATGGGCAAATAAACCAGGCAAGATCCTTGCCTGGCAATTAAAAAAACAAAGAAATGAAAAATTAATAAATAAAATAAAAGTAGAAGAGAGGACAATAAGGAATATGACACAAATTAAAAAAGAATTTGAAAAATATTACAAAAAATTATATCAAAAAGATAAACAGTAAGAACATTGTTATTTAAAACCCGATTTGAATTGTGACAGGTTCAATAGTGCCAAGCTTGGGGTAAGCAGTAAATCCTGTTGCATTATTCTAGAATTTTTTATAAACATCTTCTCCCCCAAAGCATTGGACATACCAAACAATTCCACAAATGTTTTCATGGAAATCTGTCAGGGAACTGCCATCAGTGCCGGAGGGAGAGAGCAAAAGCCAGAGGGATTATAGAGAGCGTCCAGGGATCGGGAGAAGCAGCTCATCGGATGGGGAAGAGAATCAGCATAGCACCAGTGGTGAGGGGGTGCAGGAGCCAGCAGTGGCAAGGCGGTCCCATGACTCCTTGCCTGGAACAAGCGGGGAGGGAAAGGGTCCTCCGCTGCCCACACCCACTTTGCGCAGAAGGCTTTCGTGCAGAGAGGGAAGGCGGAGACTGGGCGTCAAAGAGCTTCTTTACTGGAAGAAGTTTAAGAAACGCCCACTCACGGATTCTGCCAGCGACTGAGTCAGCCACGGGTGAGTGGCACTCCGGACAGATAAAGTTTACTTTGGCAGCCCAGCCAGGTGTTTGCAACCAGCCAGGGAGATATTTGCCTGCTTGCGCACAAGCAACCCCTATAAAACATTACAAAATCACTTTACAAACTCAGTTTTAACCTTGTTATTGACTTTGTTTATTCAAAGCCTAGGACTTGCCGATCAAAAGGTCAGCGGTTCGAATCCCCGCAACGGGGTGAGCTCCCGTTGCTCGGTCCCTGCTCCTGCCAACCTAGCAGTTTGAAAGCACATCAAAGTGCAAGTAGATAAATACCTTCCAGCGGAAGGTAAACGGCGTTTTCCGTGCGCTGCTCTGGTTTGCCAGAAGCGGCTTAGTCATGGAGGCCACAAGACCTGGAAGCTGTACGCCAGCACCCTCGGCCAATAAAGCGAGATGAGCACCGCAACCCCAGAGTCGGTCACGACTGGAGCTAATGGTCAGGGGTCCCTGTACCTTTATAAGCACATTTAAACACTGCCTTGAGAGTGGGGCCAACAATACAGAACAGCAAGAACTGGTTATGTAACAAGGGAGAGTTCTTGTATGTTCATTAAGATGCATTGATGCAGCTAACATATTAAGCTCTTTGCATGATTGCAATGAACAAAATGTTCCTTGTTACACTTTTTAATTTTGTAAACATAGGCAGGAATTCCATTAGAGCTAGATGTGGAGTTGTGAGCACACCCTTTTCTATAAACAAACCAATGCCTTTTCCCACTGCAGCCAGAACAAGCTTGTGTTCTGTCAGGCTCAGACCCAGAAGCTCCTAAGGATCCACAGTTGTTGTTTTCAATTGATTTTTATTGACATTTTCTCAGAAAAGTAAGAAATACATAATAACAAAACATGTATAACAAAACTTGGCTATGAACTTAGTCCTGGTACTACTGGCTGATGCATATAAGACAAGAAGAGGTAAGGTGTAGAAAGAACAATCTGGAAAAGCAAGATCTAAGTGTTTAGGTATAACACGAGTGCATAATGGACATTGAAGATCTGTGGGGAGGACTGCTCCCTGTTGTCAGGAAACAAATTCAACAGATGGAAATCCTGCAGCAACATGACTTACCAGGATGGAAATCCTGCAACAACATGACTTACCAGCTGCTCTCTTCAGTGACGGGAACCAGTTAGAGCTGCACAGGAAGACCTATTCAGTAGGCTCTTTAGAAGAGAGCCAGAGGAAGCCCACAGTGTCTTGGGGCCCTGGCCTTGATTCTGACCTTCCTTTACAAAGGGTGAAAGCAAGCTATTTGTTCCCTCTCCCGCGAGGGGAGAGAGAAAAACAAGCAAGACCTTTTCCCCTGTTTTGAGCCAATGAGCAAACTGCAAGTTTTGGACACAAGCTGATAGAAACAGCCCAGGGTCCTAAAGACCTTCTGATTCCTGCTTTTCTATCCAGCTTCTTGTCTTGCTGTTCACTTTTCACAGCAACTGGGAAGCATCTGGCACAGGTATTCCCTTGAAGCTATTTTGTGCAAATAGTGGGTAGGTGGGTGGCAAAAGCAAAGTGTTCTGCTTAAGTCCAGGCACTCAAAGATCCCTATATAGCAAATTCTAAGTACAATGTACACATCTTTAAAGGTAAAGGTAAAGGTACCCCTGCCCGTACGGGCCAGTCTTGACAGACTCTGGGGTTGTGCGCCCATCTCACTTAAGAGGCCGGGGGCCAGCGCTGTCCGCAGACACTTCCGGGTCACGTGGCCAGCGTGACAAGCTGCATCTGGCGAGCCAGCGCAGCACACGGAACGCCGTTTACCTTCCCGCTGGTAAGCGGTCCCTATTTATCTACTTGCACCCGAAGGTGCTTTCGAACTGCTAGGTTGGCAGGCGCTGGGACCGAATGACGGGAGCGCACCCCGCCGCAGGGATTCGAACCGCCGACCTTTCGATCGGCAAGCCCTAGGCGCTGAGGCTTTAACCCACAGCGCCACTCGCGTCCCTGTACACATCTTTACTCAGATGTAATTCTCATGGGGCTTTTAATGGGGCTTTGTCTCAGGTAAATCAAATTATAGTAGTCAGGGTAGATTAAGAACAGTTGAAACATCATAACTGTACATTGGTACCTCAGGTTAAGTACTTAATTCGTTCCGGAGGTCCGTACTTAACCTGAAACTGTTCTTAACCTGAAGCACCACTTTAGCTAATGGGACCTCCTGCTGCTGCTTCGACGCCAGAGCACGATTTCTGTTCTTATCCTGAAGCAAAGTTCTTAACCTGAAGCACTATTTCTGGGTTAGTGGAGTCTTTAACCTGAAGCGTATGTAACCTGAGGTACCACTGTACTAAATACTGCTGCTCCTTTGTTCTCCCTCCTTCCTCCCAATCAAATGAAACTTCCCTGCCTGGTTACTCAGAAGTAAGTCCCAATGTATCAATGAGGAGGACTCTCAGGTAATGTGTATAGGCTTACAGGCTCCATCTTAAGGGGGCATGGGTTCATTTACAGTCTGTTTTAGCTATGCGCTGCTGCTGTTGCATTCCTACGGTGTCATTCTTGGTTTTTTATTGTTTACTTTTGTTTTTAGGATTTACATAGACACCAATGCTGTATTTACAAATTATTGGGGGTTAGATGGAAATGCTGAACTATAACTGGCAGCTATAAAATAATATAACAGGACAATTGTTATTACATAAAATAATTATGAAAATAATGGGGTGGGGGAGAGACCCCCGTACCAAGGACAGGGAATGGGGACTCTGGAGTCTCATCAATGGATCATTATGATCTGCATACAAAATCAATTGAAATGTGATTTCCCGGGAAATGTTGCTCTCTCAGGGGTAAACTACAACTCCCAAAATTACTACAGTTCCCCAGATTCATTGAGGGGGCAAGTCTGTTTTGAATGTGTTTTAAAGATACATGCTGCAATCCCAACCCTACTGACCTGGGTTAAGCCCTAATGAATTCTGGCTAAACTTAATTAGGATTATGAGGTAAAATTGGTAATGATATATTGGACTAAAGATATTGGACATAGCATACAGTTAGAAGATTGGGAGAGGTTATGGAATGAAGGTATTACCGTATTTTTCGCCCTATAGGGCGCACTGGCCCATAGGATGCAACTCTTTTTTGGGGGGGGGGGAATTAAACTAGAATTTTAAAAAAAACCTAGAAGAGTAAACTATTGGAGGACTTTATAATGGACTAAAAACTGTAGTGAAAATAAGCGACTAAAAAACAGACCCGCTGAGGAAAAATAACTTGAGAAATCTGACATACCTGTTGGGAGAAGGGAAAGAGAAGTGTGGAGGTGTGCTGAGTCACGGGAACCCTCCGCCATTGACAGAGACTGCTAGAAACAGGGACAGGAAGAGAAGACGAAGAGGAGTCCTTAAAGATCCCAGAGAGAGTTTCTAAAGTTTCCGGAGAGAGAAAGACAGGGAAGGAAAGAAGATACAATGACATGTGTGGCTGTTAAAAGCAATTACAACCAGAAGAATACACTAATAGAGACTACAGCACCACCTATTGGATATAAATAGAAAGACAAGAATAATTTTAAAATTCACCACAGATGGTACTTAACTCCTGACAGACTGTCAAAAATAAATAAAAGGAACAACGACAAATGTTGGAAATGTAACAGAACAAAAGGTATGTTATACCACATGTGGTGGACTTGCCCAAAGATTAAAACCTTTTGGGACATGATCCATGACGAAATAAAAAAAATGATAAGTACATCACACACACAAAAAAGGCAGAGGCATATTTATTAGGAATCCTAGATAAAGATATCTCCAAAGATAAAATTAACTTATTTCTATATGCGACAACAGCGGCAAGAATTTTGATTGCTAGCTATTGGAAAGAGGAAAGCATCCCAACAAAAGGAGAATGGTTGGGGAAACTGCGAGTACCTGGAATTAGCAAAATTGACAGATATAATAAGGAGAAAATCCAAAACTATGGTTATGAAACAATGGGAGTGCTTAAATGATTATTTACAAAACCAGGGCTCAACTACAAAAATCTGGTTGTGTTTAGAATAATCTTGTGCGTAATATAAAAAAATACAAAGTGAGACATTAAGGAAATCCAAAGGGAAAATATGAAAAACAAAGGCTCTGAAGAATGGATTATTAAAAACCCGTGAGGTAAAGTGTGGAAGTCTTTTTCTTTTTTTCCCTTTTTCTTTCTTTTCTTTTCTTTTTTCTGTTTTTTTTTCTTCAAAAGAAACAATTTATTTGAGGTGGATAGGGACAAGATGAAATTATACAATTGAATATAAGGTAGATGGGAGATGGCTATGTATTGTCAGTGCTTATTTACTTTTGAAAATTATCACATATGATTTTTTCTTTTACTTCTTTGTTCTTTCTTTGTTCTTTTTTTCTTTTTTCTGATATCTTATTCGTCATTTCAATGTGTTATCATGAATAGCATTTTATAGAGGTAGAAATAACTGTAAATATGAAAAAAGACAAAATATTCTCTAATTCTTTTTCCTTAGTTAGATGTATTATCTTTTTCTTTTGTATTTTCTTTTGTTGTAAATATGTATGTTTTTTAATTTGTACTGAATAAAAATCTATTAAAAAAAAGAACCCGCCAAAAAAATAAAAATAACCAGAAGCTTTTTTTATTAGGTATAGTAGGTAGACAGATAAAATAAAAAGTAGGTAGAGACAAGATAAAAAATTGTTCTTATATGCAACAACTGTGGCAAGAATATTGTTAGCCCAAAGATGGAAACAACAGGAGCTACCAACAAAAGAAGAGCGGCAGATGAAGTTGATGGGCTTTGCATAACTGGCAAAACTGATGGGAGGAATCTGGAACGAGCGAGACCAAAGCATTCCAAAGGAACAAATTTATATTATATCTGAAAGACAACTGTAAGCAATTAACATCATTAGCAGGGTTATTTGGAGATTTGTAAGATGAAACTGCTACCTATTCAGGTTGAGTAATACAATATTTTAGGTAATGATATAACAACGATAGAAAATGAAGTGAAATGCAAAGATGTAAAGTTTAATTTTATAAACCATCAGATGGGAGGTAGGGAAGTCGTTAGGCTCAGTTGGGCCAAAAAGATAAAATAAGACGGTACGGTGTTACGTAATGTGATTGTATGTAAAACCAATAAAAATCATTTTTAAAAAAACATAATTAGGATTAAGCCTCAGGTGTGCTTCTATCCCACAAACTAATAATACTTTTCAAAGAATGCTGTAAGATGGGTCCGGTTAGCGAGAGAATGCACATATCCTGTATGGCAGAGGAGACAATGTCACACCCATCCTAAATTCACAGCTTAATGTCACATTCTTTGGAGCCTGGAAAGTGAACTTCTGAATTAGGGCAGTGAAGAAAATAAAGAGCTCGGTCCTCGCCAACTGCTCTCCAAGACAAACTCGCTTTCCTAGAAGAGGGGGAGAAAGAGACTGTTTCAGTGGAAAGCTTTTGCTACAGTAAACTTCTCCTTTTGTAACTAGTTGTTGCTAAAGCCGTAGTGACAGAGGCCTATTTAAAACGACACTGGTGGACCAGGAAGCCAAATACCTATAAACGTTCTGTTGTTTCAAAATGAAGAAACCAGTCTTATCTATTTCCTCATCCCCTCAAAAAACCACACGGCTCAGTGAGGAGTGGGAAGAGAGCATGCCAACACCGTATTGTGTAACATCACACCTCCTATGGCAGCCATTTGTGTCTTACACACAGAGCACTTCCTCAGAATGCCAGATATGTTCAATAGGGTGGGGACCCCTACAGTGCACAACTATTTTAGCAATACACCAGACTTCCCCCAACCAAGCCATTATCATGTAGTCACGATTGCAATTCTAATGAGCCACCCATTAACTTTTGTTACCTGCAGAGAATGGCAGAAACGCTTCCCTTTTCCTGAACTGACCATTCTCCAGGAAATGGCCAGGATTAAACACATTGGGTGTTTCCCACTCATCCTTGTCAAACAGCACAGAGGTCAAGTTGGGGACCATTATGGTTCCCTGTCAAAGAAGAAGCAGAGAAGACAGCAGATTAAACTGGCAGAGAACTCTCTGTATTTTTATCTGTGCAACTCTCTACGGTAGTACTGAGCCTCTTAGATCCAATACCAATGCTGTCCATTAAATAAGAAAGGATATGTTTTGAATGAGAGACTTCTGAGTAATTAATTGAACCACAGCTCATGAAAACACAGGTACCTCTATATATTTTAAAATACCAGACTTTACCTGAGTGTTTAGGGGATTTACAATTAGAAACACCAGAGGCTGGCTGTTTCTGTTTTGTGTGGTTAGTAATGACCACTAAAAAAGAAAGTAAAGAAAGATACTAGCTATCCATACAAATGGTTCAGACTGCAGTTGGAATCCATTTTTGCAGGGTGTGTGTGTGTGTGTGTGGGGTGTGTGTGGGTGTGGGAGAGACCCAAGTCTATCTATCCCAAATCCATCCCCCCAATAACACCCAAGACTCCCTCCCCAGTCCTGCCTGTTGGTCATACTGGCTCAAGTTGGTAAGAGTTGGAGTTGAACAACATCTGGAGAACCTCATCATGGCTAACCCTCATCAAGAACCTTGGCTTCAAGTTTCCACATCTTAAGGGAAGAGGAAAAGGAGGTAAGAAAGCTATTAACATTTACCTTGGGAATATGAAACCCAGCGAGTGTAGTGTCCTTAGTTGTCATCCGGGGCACATTCAAAGGCACAATGCTGCTTATTCTTTGAACTTCATGAACAACTGCATTGGTATAGGGCATTCTGTCCCGGTCATCCATCGATGGCTGGCGAGACTGGCCAATCACAGAATCTATTTCCGCTTGGACTTTTGCTGCAAATAAAAGAAAATCTCCTATCAACACAAGAAGGATATACTTTATCTAAGATCTGTAGAGGAGGCCCATCTTTAATATTTAATGGATTTGAACAAACACAGAATTGATACTCTTTAAATGAATGGGTAACCAAATTTTCACTTATTGGAATCAATTTTCATATGGACCAGTCAGCAGAGTATCCGGATATTTTAGGAAAGGCACCTATGATCTGCATCAGCAAATGAGGATTTAGAAATCATCTGCAAATCAAACCAACTTGTATTCAAATGAATTATATACTACTCTGTAGATATACTCATGTTGTCTAATAGCGCAACCTGAAGACAAAAGTTGTTGAGCTCTTTTTAGTTTTGCCCCCCATCTCTTCTAAAAAATGAATTTCCGAGTTTCATTTTTTTATTAAATTCGCCAAAATCTACACTTCCAACATAGGCTGCCACAAGTCCAGGTTTCCCCAGACATTTGTTTAAGAGGACCATGTCCAAGAAATTACAGACGCATGGCAACCCTAATAAATTGCTGCTTTATTATTATGTTTCATTTGTGAATCACTGCTGTATGTTTGATTGTAATGGTGAATGTTGAAATAACAACTTGCTTTTTGGTGTTTTTATCTTTTTAATAAGTGCTATTCATCCTGAAAAGGATAGAGATAATTCCTGCTAAGAATTAATTGGCTTTCTTTAAATAACATTTCATAGTTGTTTTTATACAAATCTTTTATTTTCTCTGTTACTGCACTGATTTGTATCTCAATTTGGAATCATAAACTATTCTTTTTGTTTTCATTGATCTTTTTCTATGTTTATTTCAACAATTTCTGGTTTTGCTTTATTTAGATAACTTGCCAGAATCTTCCATTTCCTTATCTCCTTTACACAACTGATGGGTATAAACATGTCTAAGTACAGTGATACCTCAGGTTAAGTACTTAATTTGTTCCGGAGGTCCGTTCTTAACATGAAACTGTTCTTAACCTGAAGCACCTCCCGCTGCCACCGCGCTGCCGGAGCACGATTTCTGTTCTCATTCTGAAGCAAAGTTCTTAACCTGAGATACTATTTCTGGGTTAACGGAGTCTGTAACCTGAAGCGCATGTAACCTGAAGTGTATGTATCCCAAGGTACCACTGTAATGTTCATTAATCTCGGTAGGTTTACTCTGGATAGGACTTAGTTGAATATAACCGAAAGTAATGAAAGGGAAATAAGCCAACTACAGTTCTACCTTGAATTTCTGGATAAATGGCCGTGTAAAGTAAAGCCCAGCGCAATGTTGTAGAAGTTGTTTCTGTTCCAGCAAAAAACAGATCCAGTGTTGAATGTAGAAGGTTTTCTTCATGGAAACTGGAAGCTGAATCCTCCTTAAAACAAAAATGCACCAGGGAGTTAAGCTGCCATTAAAAACACCATCCTGTCAGACCCACAAGTCTACCATGTCATTAAAAATGCCATGTCATTAAAAACCATCATCCTAGTATCAGTCCTATCTGTCAAATGATCACCAGGGGATTCCTCAGCTCTGTTTCTGAGTGTCCAGAATACAGCAGGGTCAGGTCAACAGTCCCCTGGATCACTGAATCTAGAATAAATATTGGTTTAGCCTTGTCAAGGTCCTAGTCTGAACTACAGACTCCTAGACAGGGTGGATTCAGACAGACAACTGAGGCAATGGTAGGTCATGAGATGCCTCTACAGTGATGCTTTCAGTCATATCAGCTGTCTGTTCTGACAAATCACAGACAAGTGGTGGAATTTGGGCAGTAGACCAGAATTTGGGCAGTGGACCTTCTGAAATGCATGGTTTCATTTTAACATGTACACTTGCAAATGCACACATATACTTCGCCTGTTCATCTGAATACATACAGAGTCAATGAAAACAACATAGCCTTCTTAGACAAACCACTTGTGTAGCTAGTTCTGGCATTTTATATTGTATCTCTGCCTTCTCCTATTATCATTGCTGCTGCCATGAGTGCTGGAGGGAGAACTGCTCCCTGCTGCGAGGCCCATTTCCAGCTGGCCTAGGGGGCGGGGCCCAGATCCGGCTTAAAAAGCCAAAGAGGCTCCTGGGAGCCAATGGGACATTGCTGGAACAACTCTTGGGTTTGGGCAGCTGGCTAAATTGCTTTACAATGTTTTAAGCAGTTCTAATTTTGGTTCCTCTGGTATGTTTTTTTCAGGTTGCGTTTGGTTAAATGTTTACTTGGAGTTGGCAGTTCTTTTAATTTGGGTATAACTGTAAACCGTTTATTATTGTTGTTATTATCAGTTTCTGTTGATTTATTGGTTTGTTCCTTGTATAGGATATTCTGTTTATTAATGTTTCATGTTTTGTGTGGTTTTATTTATGCTGTACGCTGCCTAGAGTAGCTGGGAAAACCAAGCCAGATGGGCGGGATATAAATAAAATATAATAAAATTCTTCTTCTTCTTCTTCTTCTTCTTCTTCTTCTTCTTCTTCTTCTTCTTCTTCTTCTTCTTCTAAAAATTATATATTTTTCATTCTTTTTATATCTCAGCTTGGTCATTTCATTTAGGTAGGCATAGAGAGAGGTTATTCAGGCAACAGAGGCAATGGTCATGAGAAGCCTTCATTGCAGTGATGCTTTTAGTCATGCCAACTATTTGCTCTCACAAACCACAGACAAGTGGTGAAATCCCAGCAGTTAACAAGTGGGGAGGTGTCTCCCCATAAAATACATGACTTTATATTCATGCATACAGAAATGTATTTTGTCTGAAATCATAAACTCAACAGAAGGAATATGGTCAGCCACTAAGGACCATTCAGACAAGCCACATAACTAGTTCTGGTTTTTAATATTGCTTCTCTGCCTTCTACTGCTCTTTTATTATTAAAGATATATACTGTTTGTCCGTTTCATCTCCTACCTTGGCCATTTCATTTAGGTAGGCATCAATGAAGTCTCTGGGTTCAGATGGGTTCCAGTCTTCTTTGTGTTTTTCAATGATTCCTCTCACAAAGGATTTCAGCTTTCCCCAGTTTTTAAAAACAGTATTATGAGGCCCTGGCAAGTGCTTCATGAGAGTGGGAAAGATATTGTACAGCTGTGGAAACAAACACTAATATCATATATGTGCAGAGAAACCCCTCTCAAAAAATATTCACATCATGCCATACAAAGAAGAAGCCTACTAGGGCTATTTCCGAGGAAAAATAATAAAAGATTGTGTGCGCTAGTTTTGTGCACCACCCAGTATTATTTAGTTTTGTAAATTTCAGGAACAATATTTGAATGTTTGAAATTAGTTTCAGGAACAATATTTGAATGTCCCCTACATGGAATATAAAACCAACACCTTCTCTGGGGAAAGCAAGCAGAGAGGAGGTTCTGTAATATTAAAGGCATCCCAGCAAATATGCCTTCAATATTATAATGGACAGTGTTAAGACAAGATGGCAAACGGACATGCATGGGAAGAGATACTCGAATTACTAATATGAGAAAATAAAGAAATCAGAACGTGAAAACCGAAGTAGATGGATAAATGTTCAACCAAAGTGTGGAAGTCTCTTTGGGCCAAAGCGGTTACTCACAAGACCTACCCGACTCCAAATAGTTGCTTGAAGGTACATCGTCTCATCAAACAAGTGCAATAACATCTGGAAACGGCTGTCATAGTAATCAAAGCGGTCTCCAAATGTGATGGAACAAATGATATTTGAAACAGCATTATTAATCTGAAAGTGAGGGTTAAATGGCTGCCCTGGAAGAAGGGAGGGGGAAAGGGTAGAAGAGAAATAAGAGTGCTTATGGCTTCCATATAACAAGAGCAAAATGTGGGGAATATGGGTGGGGTGTGGATAGGGTAGGATCTATGAACAGAAGAACCCATTTAGTATGAATGTTAAATCCTGTGATTTAAGTTAGGACACATCATATAATACGTTAAGCACACTTATATTTTAAAATAACCCTTTGTCCTCTTCATAGGGTAGGATTATTCAGCTGGAGGAGGGCACAGGTAATATTCTACAGGTGGAGGATGTAAATATGAAAGCACCGTGGTGGAGTCCTATAGCTTTGGTAGCATATGCTGAACAGCTGTGGGTATGGTTTGGCCAAGGCAGGAGGTTGGGAAAGGACATTTTGGCTAACAAGAATGGCAAGGGCAGTCCCCATCAGAGACAGAAAAAAGAGGCACAATATACCAAAAGAATACAGTGGTACCTCAGGTTACATACGCTTCAGGTTACATACGCTTCAGGTTACAGACTCCGCTGACCCAGAAATATTACCTCAGGTTAAGTACTTTGCTTCAGGATGAGAACAGAAATCATGCTCCGGCAGCGCGGCAGCAGCAAGAGGCCCCATTAGCTAAAGTGGTGCTTCAGGTTAAGAACAGTTTCAGGTTAAGAACAGACCTCTGGAACAAATTAAGTACTTAACCCGAGGTACCACTGTATACCAAACTTATGACTTTATTTATGACTTTGGTTGTTGTAGCTCTCAAAAAGGGGAACACATAATCAGCCCAAACACTAAATGTACCTATTTGTTCTTGTTATTTTATCCTACTTAGTGGTTTGGGGTTGCAACAAAACTCAGAATAAGCTCCAAGTCCCACAATGGATATGCACCTGTGTTGTTGTTTTTTAAAAAAATCCTTCCAATTATGAGGTTCTCCCAGCTCCAGCAGAGCTACATTTGTGGAAAGGAATGCCATACAGCTTTGTACCATGAGTGTGTATACGAAATAGCAGTTTAAATATCACAGATGATGCCACTGGTTTATGGGCTCTGGTGCTCACCATTCTCAGCTTCAATTGCATCTGTTAGATATCGGCTCTCCTCCTGTATTCGTTCTTCTAAAGACCTTTTGCCCAAACCAAAGTTTCTGAGAGTTGATAAGGCAAATCGTCTTTGTTGTTTCCAACTAAGGCCATTAGAGAAGATCAATCCTAAATAGGAAGAATTAATATCATGTAGCAGATATGTACTTTTAAAAGGAGTAACTGCAAATTGCAAGGAGATTTAAAAGACCTAATTATAAAGGGACTCCTCTTTCCATTAAACTATTCTGCTTGTCTACTTATACCACACTGAGGAGACTGCAGAGCATTTGAACTGAGCTAAGCTGCTGCTGCTTCACTGTTGCTTCTTGCGTGTATTACGGTACTCTTTTGATTGTGGTTTTAATAGGAACTTTAATTTTTCCTGAAATATTTTGAGATTGGTGTAATGATACAGGAAATGAAAATGAAAAAATCTAATCGTCAGGCATGAAAACATAATATTATCAAACAACCTAAGGGTTTGTACAATTAAGGCAGACAGGAAATGAAAATGAAAAAATCTAATCGTCAGGCATGAAAACATAATATTATCAAACAACCTAAGGGTTTGTACAATTAAGGCAGACTTGGGAAAATATCACGCTTAGTAAATTTAAATAATTGAGCACATTAAAAGAAACTCACCAAATGATGTAAATATTTCTTTATCAAGAGGAAGGACTGGACGATCTACAAAGTTTTCACCCTGATGGACAAGAGTCTCTTTCACCAGCTGCAATCCATTCACAACCACAACCCGCCTGTTTCCAACCTGAAGGCTGAAGATGTTGCCATATTTTTTTGCAAACTGAATGGAGAAGGAAGAACTATGTAAGGGGGGATATATATGTAAAACATTAATATTGTGTATTAATCTGTCTGCATGGTGGGCTGGGATACTGTTTCTGAATGGGAATCTTAACTTGTGCATTGTAAGGTGCTTAATTATTTATCCAAGCAGTTATCTACCTCAGGACCTTTCTCCGGGCCAGAGTTGGAGCAAAAAGGCAGAGGTGGTAGAAAGAATCTGTGACAGATCTGTTACAAATAATTGTTAGGTAAAATAGATCCTCTGTGTTCAGAGGCAATACACATTTGGCAGCTATACCAGCAAGGGTCACAAGCTACTTTCTAGTGTAATGTTGTGCTTAACTCATGTCAGGGACCTTTCAGTCATCTTTACCTTTTGCATGGAAAAATGTGGTTTCTTGAAATCCATGTTTAGCATGTTACCCAGCAAGGGAAGAGGCATGGGCCCTGGGGGGAAATCCCTTGGGCGAATCTTTTTCTTGTAATCAGCAAAAAGCAGAAATGCAACCAGAAACACCAGAACGACCTGCAGGGACAAGGCCTCCCAGAGGACAGAGAGCAACTGGAGCAGCATCTTCAAAGCCTTCTAGCCTTCCTTTGTCAGAATGGATTGCTATCTGTCATGGGAATCTAAAACCTTATGCAGGTAGAGCAGCCACACCTGCCCTCTTGGCTAACGTTCCTGTAAGAAAGGAAAGGAAAGTTTGTGCACATAGTTATACATCATGGCCACAGATAGGCAGAAGGGAGATAACCTAATGAGTCACCCAACCCAGAGGGGAAAAAGAGAGTGGGGGAGAGCGGTTTCTGAACTAGAATATTTCCTTCCTGTTTTTACTTCTTTGGAACAGTAAACGTTTATTTCCTTTATGACATTTCTAAGAAGGGTTTTTTGCAAGTGCATAAAAAAATTAAAAACTTCTACCAAGGGAGATGCCTTCCATTCCTGAGGCATTTGGACCAGCTATAGTTTCAGCAGCTCTGACCTTTGGCCAGGGGCGAAGGAAGGTGTCATGACACCTGAGGCAGGGTCATGATGTAGGGCGCATGTGCAACATCGCTACGTACGATGCAAGCATGCGACGCTGCACATGCGCTGTATAGTGGTTTGCCACCGGCACTGCTCCAGCGCTGTACGGATGGTGCCGGGATCCCTCCGGTGCCGCTACAGCCATGAACGGAGGATCTGGCACTGTCCATACAGCGCTGGAGTGGCGCTGGCGGCAATCTGCTAAGGACAGCGCATGTTGCACGCATGCGCTGTACATAGCAACGCCGCACATGCACTATTTAGCGGTTTGCTGCCAGTGCCGCTCCAGTGCCGTACGGCACATGTGCGGCATTGCTATGTACAGTGCATGCGTGCAACGCCACACATGCGCTGTACTTAGCAGATTGCTGCCGGTGCGGGATCCTCTGCTCGCGGCTACAGCCGTGAACGGAGGGTCCTCCAAAGGCAGCTGCGCTGCCACGAGCCCCCGCAGGATGACATCTGGTCACCCCTGCAAATATGGAACCCGGGGCATCCCACCCCAACCCCATTGCGACGCCGCTGCCTTTGGCTAATGAGGCCAAAGGAGAGAAACTGCTTACCTCCTTTCAATACTACATAGATTTTCTTTTGGCAACAGACTGACTAGATCAAGGACTAGGTACCAGCATCTATCCTGATGTTTTTGGTCTCCAACTCCCAGCAGCCCCAGCCAGTATGGCCAATAGTCAGGGAAGATGGGAGAAGGATCATTCAGAAGGCCAGAGCCCTCTAATACTAGATAGTTTTAGCTAATAGGAGGCCACGTGGCAGAAGAAAAGTTGGTGCAATGTAAACACATTGCCAGGAGCTCTGGAATGGCTCTGTCCACGTTTATGCAGCACATCAACATCACTACCGTGTTGCTATTCTCCCTCTTAGTAAATACTTGCAGCATATGAAAGAGTTTTTAAGGATGGCTTTATGTAAAATGAGGGATGCGGGTGCAGTGGCGTAGTGTGGGTTGTCAGCACCCGGGGCAAGGCAAGTAATTTGCGCCCCCTAACCCGTGGATTTGCGCCCCCTAACCCGTGGATTTGCGCCCCCTAACCTGTGGATTTGCCCTAACCCCAGATGTTGCGCCCGGTGCAGCCGCCCCCCCTGCACCCCCACGCTACGCCACTGTGCGGGTGGCGCTGTGGGTAAAACCTCAGCACCTAGGACTTGCCGATCGCATGGTCGGCGGTTCGAATCCCCGCAGCGGGGTGAGCTCCCGTCATTCGGTCCCAGCTCCTGCCCACCTAGCAGTTCGAAAGCACCCTTAAGTGCAAGTAGATAAATAGGTACCGCTTTATAGCGGGAAGGTAAACGGCATTTCCGTGTGCTGCGCTGGTGCAGGCTCGCCAGAGCAGCTTCGTCACGCTGGCCACGTGACCCGGAAGTGTCTCCGGACAGCGCTGGCCCCCGGCCTCTTAAGCGAGATGGGCGCGTAACCCCAGAGTCGGACACGGCTGGCCTGTACGGGCAGGGGTACCTTTACCTTTACCTTATGTAAAATATTAATATTTCAGATCAATACAGGTGAAATTGTTCCAAATATTCATTACTGTTCACCTACTAACAAGAAGAAGATGAATAGTAAGTTCATTGTTCTTTAAAATCCTATTTGAATTGTCAAACAGATTCAATAGTACCAAGCCTGGGGTAAGGAATATATCCTGCTGCATTATTTTAGAACTTCCCAAAAACACCTTTAACACTCTAAACTTTAAAAAGAACTGGGATTAAGCCTTCATCTATTCCTTCAGTACTCGTTAAGAGTTGTTCAAAGACCATAAAACTCTGTGTTGCTTCTTGGGGGGGGGGGACACTACAGTAGAGATTGGTTCAGGCCAAACATGCAGCTAACCCAAGCCTCTAAGAAGTGCACGCACAATATCCCCAGGAATGTCTTCTTGAACTTTTTCAAATGGATACAATAGTGGTACCTTGGGTTAAGTACTTAATTCGTTCCGGAGGTCCGTACTTAACCTGAAACTGTTCTTAACCTGAAGCACCACTTTAGCTAATGGGGCCTCCTGCTGCTGACGCACCGCCGGAGCACGATTTCTGTTCTCATCCTGAAGCAAAGTTCTTAACCTGAAGCACTATTTCTGGGTTAACGGAGTCTGTAACCTGAAGCGTATGTAACCCGAGGTACCACTGTACTGGTGGAAAGGGGGCATGTCTCTTCTGCGTGGTATTCTCCTCTGCCCCTGCCCCTGTGAATGTCAACACTATGTGCTCCCAGACAGCCAAATTGCCACTCTTAGCTATTTTCATGGAAATCACTTTGCAGACTCAGACCTTGTCATTGACTATGTTTATTCAATCACAACAATAATGTTTCTGGAAAATAATAAAACCTAAGAATATTCATCATCCACAAACCAACTCAGTTGTATGCTTCACTGATTTTACTATATTTACAAGCACATTTAAACTCCGCATTCGAAGCAGGGCCACCAATACAGAATGGCAATAACTGGTCATTTAACAAGAGAAAATGCATGTACGTTCATTAAGATGCATTGATGCAGGTAACATATCAAACTCTTTGCAAGTTCATTACGAACAAAACATGCCTAACAACATTTTCTAATTTTATAAAGATAGGCGGGAATTCCATTAGAGTTTTATGTTGAGTTGAAAGCACACACATTCCTATAAACAAAACAATGCCTTTTCTTCACTACAACAGGACCAGAACAAGCTCATGACCAGGTCAGGCCCAGGTGCAGAAGCTCCTAGGGATCCACAGTTGTTGTTTTTCATTGGCTTTTAATGAAATCTTCTCAGGCAAGTAGGAAATACATAATAGCAAACAAAGCATGCATAACATAATTTGACAGTGAACTTAGTCCTGGTACTACTGTACTTGTTGATGCCTCCCCACCTCCCTGACAAAAAAAACCCAGATACAACCAGAGGATAGAAATATAGGCAAGATGTAGAAACACAATCTGGAAGAGCAAAGGAGCTAATTTATTAAAAAATATATATGCTAAAGGTCAAAAGTGTTAATGTAGAATACCATTCCATGATAGATGTGGAAGATCTGAGGGAGGACTTCTCCGTCATCAGGAAACAAATTCAACAGATTGAAAACCTGCAGTACAAAGACCTACCAGCAAGTCTCCTCCGGGACAGAATGGGTTGGAGCTGAAGAAACCTATCAGCAGCTGTGGCCCAGGACCTCACCAGAGCTCACAAATTCTTAGTGACCTTAGCATTGATTCTGATCTTTCTTTAAAGAAAGAAGAAGCAAGCGTTTGCTCCCTCTCAACAGATAAGAGAGAAACCAGCAAAACTTCCTTCCCTATTTTGAGCCAATGAGCAAACAGCAATGTTTTAGACACCAGCCGATAGAAAGACCCCAGGGTCCTAAGGAGCTGGCAATTCCAGTTTTCTATCCTGCTTCTTATCTTGCTGTTCATTTTCCATTGCAGCCTGGAGGCACCTGAGACAGGTAATAATAATAATAAATTTTATTTACACCCCTCCTGCCCTGGCCAGAGCCGGGCTCAGGATGGCTAACACCAATAAAATTTCAGTAAAAACTTAATAGGAAAGAAAGAAAAGGTTAAAATGCAATTTAAAATGCAGCCTCATTTTAAAAGTCAACCATAAGGGGAGGGAAACATAAGGGTCAGACTGAGTCCAAACCAAAGGCCAGGCAGAACAGCTCTGTCTTGCAGGCCCTGCGGAAAGATGTCAAGTCCTGGAGGGGCCTAGTCTCTTGTGACAGAGCGTTCCACCAAGTCGGGGCCAGTACTGAAAAGGCTCTGGCCCTAGTTGAGACCAACCTAACCACCGTGTGACTTAGGACCTCCAAAATATTGTCATTTGTGGACCTTAAGGTCCTCCGCGGGGCATACCAGGAGAGGCGGTCCTGTAGGTACATAGGTCCTAGGCCGCATAGGGCTCCCTAGAAGCTATTTTGTGCAAATCGTTTGGGGGTGGATGTATGGGTAATTTATCCGGAAGATATTTGTATTTCTAGGAGACGGTGATCTGACATGGTTACCCTTCCTGCCTCTGTTTGCTTCCCCCCCTCTATCTCTTGTTTGGCTCTTTGATGGCTGAGAACAACCTTTAGTGTCCTAATCTGTCGAAGGATGTGATAGTGCTGGGTACCTTCACCTTCTTTGATGTTAGACATTGTTTGGAGAACATGAGGCATTGGGAGAGGTGGCTAATGAATAATCTGCACATAGCCAATCGAGCAAGCCACACAGGCTAACAAGTTAGCTATCTATAAATCAGGTGGTGTTGGGCAGCGTCTGAGAAGCTCGTGCATGGACTGATCCGGCTATTTCTTGAGGGCTTCCACGTGGCATAGATCTGTTTCTGCACCATAAACTGATCCTACTTTTTAAAGAAACGGCAATGACATAAAGTAAGTCCCCTTAGCGAGAGAATGCACATATCCGATATGGCAGGGGAGACAATGTCAGACCCATCCTAAATTCACAGCTTAATGTCTCATTCTTTGGAGCCTGGAAAGTGAACTTCTGAATTAGGGCAGTGAAGAAAAGAAAGAGCTCGGTCCTCGCCAACTGCTCTCCAAGACAAACTCGCTTTCCTAGAAGAGAAGGATACAAAGAATGCTTTAGTGGAGAGCTTTTGCTGCAGTAACTTCTCCTTTTGTAACTAGTTGTAGCTAAAGCAGTAGTGGCAGTGGCTTGTTTAAAATAACCCTGGCAGACTAGGAACCAAATACAGTGGTACCTTGGTTGTTGAACTTAATCCGTTCCAGGGGTCTCTTCGACTCCTGGAACCATTCGAAAATCAAGGCATGGCTTCTGATTGGCTACAGGAAGCAGCTGAAGCTGCATCGAATGTTCAGTTCCCAAAAAAAGTTCGCAAACCGGAACGCTTACTCCCGAGTTTGGGGTGTTCGGGAGCCGATTTGATCAGGAGCCAAGCCTTTCGACAACCAAAGTACTACTGTACCTGTAAAAGGGATTCTGTTGTTGCAAAATAAATGAAGACGCCGGTCCTATCCATTTCCTACTCAAGTAAATGGGAAAACTGAACAAATATGATCACAGCTTTCCAGAATCTGGAATACATACATTTGAGGTACATAAATTTCTATCATATGAAGTGTTGGAGAGAAATATTTTAATTGGAATCTACCTCATTCACACTACCTAATTTGCATCTAACTAAGCTAAGGGACGCGGGTGGCGCTGTGGGTAAAAGCCTCAGCGCCTAGGGCTTGCCGATCGAAAGGTCGGCGGTTCGAATCCCCGCGGCGGGGTGCGCTCCCGTTGCTCAGTCCCAGTGCCTGCCAACCTAGCAGTTCGAAAGCACATCAAAGTGCAAGTAGATAAATAGGGACCGCTTACTAGCGGGAAGGTAAGCGGCGTTTCCGTGTGCTGCGCTGGCTCGCCAGATGCAGCGATGTCATGCTGGCCACGTGACCCGGAAGTGTCTCCGGACAGCGCTGGCCCCCGGCCTCTTGAGTGAGATGGGTGCACAACCCTAGAGTCTGTCAAGACTGGCCCGTACGGGCAGGGGTACCTTTACCTTTACCTTTAAGCTAAGGGTATAGCAAACTAACAATACATGAGGGATGGCCAGTCTAGTCCCTGTGGGCTGTCAGTGCCACCTATGACACCTGTGAACATCCCCTCAAAAACCCACACTGCCTAATTGGAGGAGGGGACTATGTCAACAACATTTGTGTTGTACCACACTCACAAAGAGAGCCATTTTGTGACTGGTGCCTACATCACTTTCTTATATGTCAAATGTGGCCACTGGCCCAAAAAGTTTGGTAACTTCTGCAATATACAATATACTTAGTACTACACCAGGCTCTCAGCTACTAGGCCTCCACCATTTAGTAACTCTTGAAATTTTGATGACGAGTCCATCATTTTTTTTACCTGCAGAGAATGGCAAAAATGCTTCCTTTTTCTTGAACTGCCCGTTCTCCAGGAAATGGCCAGGATTAAACACATTGGGTGTTTCCCATTCATCCTTGTCAAAGTGCAAAGAGGTCAAGTTGGCAAGCATTATGGTTCCCTGTCAAAGAAGAAGCTAGATTAAAAATGTCCATGAACTCTTTGTGTTATATTTTTGTAATCACAGCAGTCAAACTCTGTTCTCTGGTGCAGAAAAGATATGCTCTGAATGAGAGATTAGCTTTTCATTATTAAGTAATTCATCCAACTACATCCCACAAAAACACAGGTTCCAATATAGATCTAAAATATATTCAATGTCTGCTGGACTACTAAAATTTATGGTTAGAAACACCAGATTTTAGCAAATTTCAGACTGACTAGCTATCCATTCAAACAGAGACTGTGGTTTGGGTCTGGTTTTACAGAGGAATTTGAAGAAAACAAAAGCTTATCTAGCTCAGATCCCTCTATCCTTTCCAGATCATGATGTATCCCAAGAATACTCTAGCATCTGCCCCAGGCCTAGCATCGCTGTTATGCCAAACAAGCCTAGAATTCCATAAGCAGTAGAGGAGTGAAATGATGGGCAAAGCAGAACACCATAGTGGGAAGGGTCCAGATTTACAACTGACAAACCAGTTTCTCTCCAACCAATGCCAGCCTAATGGTATGGTGCAACTCCGCAGGTAGACATGGGGGTGATGCAACCTGGGACACAACTCTCATCATTTCTGCCCATTAGCTGGTTGGAACTGATGACAGTTGGGAGTCCAACAACATCTGGACAGCACAATATCAGCTACCCCTCATTTAGAACTTGGACTTCAAGTTTTCACATCTTAATGGAAGAGTAAAGGCAGATAAGAAAGCTGTATCTTCTTAACATTTACCTTGGGCACACGAAACCCAGCCACTATAGTGTCCTTAGTTGTCATCCGGGGCACATTCAAAGGTACAATGTTGCTTATTCTTTGAACTTCATGAATAACTGCATTGGTATAGGGCATGCTGTCCCTGTCATCCATCGCTGGCTGGCGAGACTGGCCAATCACAGAATCTATTTCTGCTTGGACTTTTGCTACAAAGAAAAGAAGATTTGTCGTTAATACAAGAGCAGCAGAATTGGAGGGGAGACTTGTCATGTTGTTCCATCACTGGGTGCCCATTGTGTGGTGGGAAGGGAAGTTGCTTCTGTGCAATTGTGGCCCATTTGTGGAATCACCTTTATTTGGATTGCAGACAGCAGCTGCACTGGTAGAGTTTCAGCATTGCCTTGGGACTCATTTTTTCACCCAGACCTAATTTTTATTTTCCAAGTGCTTCATGTAGTGGAATCTTCCACATATCAGACATAGAAATATATACATATAGTACGATGATTCAAACATGGTTCTACAACTGTTTTTTGCAGTTTGTGACATACAATAATTTTAAAACTGGAACTTGAACTCTTTTTCTTGCTTTCTCATCCTACATAATTTCAGCTTTCAGCCATGTGTGGTTAATTGAATTGGTAAATGTTGAAATAAAAACTGGCTTTTCAATATTTTTATCATTTTAATAACTGTTATTCTCCCCAAAAGGACAAATATAATTGCTGCCACTCTGTAACAAGTAATTGACTTTCTTGAAATATAAATACATTATTTCTTTTATATAAATTTTGTAGTTTCTCTGTTACTGTGCTGCTCTGTTTCTCCATTGATAATCATAAATGTCTCTTATTTTCTTCGTTAGTTTTTTTCCTATATGTATTCCAGCAATTTCTGTTTATGCTTTAGTTAGCATGTAACCTGCCAGAATTTCACATTCTTCCCTTCACTCATCTATCAACCTTTTTACACATCTGGTGGGTATAGACAGTGCTTTTTTCTTTAAAAATGTTGAGGGGTACTCTCATTTTGTCTCACCATTTTATAGGCTGCCATCTGTGGTAGCAACAGAACTGATGATTCACCATGCTATTCAATGGAACTGACGATTCACTATCGTGGGGGAGGAACTTAATTTTTTTTTTAAAAAAGTTTCTTCTCCCATTAGATTCACAAATTTTTTAGGGGTGCGTACCCCTGCATGCCCCCAGAAAAAAGCATTGGGTATAGGCATGTCTGAGTTTGTTAAATTCATTGGGTTAACTGTGGGTAGGACTTAACTGAATCCAACCCAAAGTAATGAAAAGGAAAGAAGCCAATTACAATTTTACCTTGAATTTCTGGATATATGGCCATGTACAGCAAAGCCCAGCGCAGGGTTGTAGAAGTTGTTTCCGTTCCAGCAAAAAACAGATCCTGTGTAGAATGTAGGAGGTTTTCTTCATGGAAACTGGGAGCAGCATCCCCCTTGAAGCAAAGAAAATGCACCAGCGTGTTAAGAGGCCATCGAACACCATCATCCCAGTTCCAGTCCCATCTGTCAAGTGATCACCATGGAATTCCTCAGCTCTATTCCTGAAGAGTATCCAGAACCCAGCAGGGTCACATCAACAATCCTGTACATTATTGAAGTTGGGATAAAGTATGGGTTTGGTCTTGTCAAAGTTTGGTCTGGACTACAGAGTATATTCAGACAGACAACTGAGGAAATGGCATCTCATGATATGCCTCTACAACAATGCTTTGGGTGGTGTTGGCTGTCTGATCTGACAAATCACAAACAAGTGGTGAAATTTAGTGGGCAAATGGGGAAATGCCACCCCATGAAAGGCATGAAATCATATTTATATATGCACTTGTGCACGCAAGTGCACACACACTTCACCTGTTTGTCAAATTAAATACAGAGTCAGCAAAAACAATATGGCCAGCACTAAAGACTGCTTAGACAAACCACTTAGCTAGGTCTGGCCTTTTAGATTGTACCTTGCCTTCTTCTAGTATCATTATTCTTTTTAAAAAGAACAACAACTATATACTTGTTGTCCTTTACGTCTCTTACCTTGGCCATTTCATTTAGGTAGGCATCTATGAAGTCTCTGGATTCAGATGGATTCCAGTCTTTTTTGTGTTCTTCAATGATTTCTTTCACAAAGGATCTCAGTTGCTCCCAGTTTTTTAAAATAGTCTGATGGGATCCTGGCAGGTGCTTCATGAGAGTGGGAAAGAGATCGTACAGCTGAGGAAACAAACATTAACATCACATATATGTATGGAATATATGTATGTACATTAAATAACAACAACAATAAATGATTAATAAACATTAGTTTTGTGCACCATCTAGTATTATTTCTGTAAATATTCAGGAACAACGCTTGAATGTCCCCTACAAGTCATAAAAAACCAATTCCTTCCCTGTGGAAAGCTAGCAGAGAAGGTTTTAGCCTTCTCATGGTGTGTGCTACTTTTTCATATGCAGAGATTTTTATTCAGTTACACATGTGATTACCAATTCAATAGCCTAAACCGTGTTTTAGCACATGGTTCTTTTTTTAATGAATGCTTTATAATACTGAAGGCATCCCAACCAACAGACAATGCTAAATCAAAGCAAGATGGCAAAGGGATATGAATAGGAAGAGATGCTTGGGTGACTAGAATGTGGGAGAAAGAAATCATAACATGAAAAACCCACAGCACGTGAATTAACATTCAACCAGCATGTGGGAGTCTGTCTGGGCCAGAGCGTTTCTGACAGAAGACCTACCTGACCCCGACTTCCTTGAAGGTACGTTGCCTCATCAAGCAATTTCAATAACTTCTGGAAACGACTGTCATGGTATTCAAAGCGGTTCCCAAAAGTGATAGAACAAATGATATTTGAAACAGCATTATTAATCTGAAAGTGAGGGTTAAATGGCTGCCCTGGAGGGAGGAAAAGATGGTAGAAGAGAAATAAGAGTGCTTATGGCTTCCATATAACAAGAACAAAATGTGGGGAATGTAGGTGGGTGTGGATAGGGTTGGATCTTTGAACAGAAGAAACCATTTAGTATGAACGTTACACCCAGTAATTCAAGGACTCCATGAGATAGAGTTATGTATAAGACATTAGGCACATTGTGCTTTCAAGTGAGCATTTGCCTTCTTTATATTTCTTTATAGGCTGGGATTATTCTGCAACAGGAGGACATAGCTAATATTCTACAGGTGGAAGGTATCTTAAATATAAACGTGTAGTGTTTGAGTTTTATACGACTTTCTAGCACACTCATCTATGAGATCATCAGTCAAGATCTGGCCAAGGCAGGAGGTTAGGAAAGGGCATTTCTGTAGAAGTGGCTAACTAGTATGGCCTGGACCACCTTAATCGGAGGCAGAAAAGAGATGCACAATAGAACAAAACAGCACATCCACTGCCACACCTGCAGATGTAAAGGAGAAGCAGAGCTGTGTGTCTTCAGCATATCGCTGACAATGTACTCCAAAGCTCAGGATGACCCCACTCAGAAATTTCATGTAGATGTTAATCATCATGGGGGATAAAACTGAACGCTGGGGAACCCCACATGGGGCTGAACAGCACTCCCTAAGAATCATCCTCTGGAAATGACCATACAGGTAGGAACAAAACCACTGCAAAGCAGTGTCCCACACCCGAATTCAGACAGCTTTAATATCACAGATGGTGCCACTGGTTTATGGGCTCTGGTGCTCACCATTCTCAGCTTCAATTGCATCTGTTAGGTATCGGCTCTCCTCCTGTATTCGTTCTTCTAAAGACCTTTTGCCCAAACCAAAGTTTCTGAGAGTTGATAAGGCAAATCGTCTTTGTTGTTTCCAACCAGGGCCATTAGAGAAGAGCAATCCTAAATAGGAAGAATTATCATCATATAGCAAATAAGGACTTTTAAAATGAGCAACTGCAAATAGTAAGCCAGGAGAGTTAACAGACCTTCTAATTATAAAAGAGGACTCCTCTCTCCCCTAAGCTATCTGGCTTGCCTGCTTATATCATACTGAAGAGACTGCAAAGTTGACTTTGCTGCTGCATCTGCTGCAGCTGTTTCATTGTTGCTTTTCATTTGCTTTACCGTTTGTATAGTATTTTTAATACTAACTTTATTTCACCGTGTAAAAGGTTTTGGGAACACTGATAGAGCAAAAGTGCAGCATTTCCAAAAAAATAAATAAATAAAATTGGGGGAGAATGAGAACATGTAAAAAATCCAAAATATTTCATCTGTAGGGCTCTTCTGCTATTTGAATACATGAAGCATCCATGGACCTGGACATTTCAAAGGACACTGCTTCTATTCCCACTGCCCTCTCCATCCTTTATACAGATAGTCAGAGTCACGGGGAAGGCTTAACTCAGCAGCTTTAATGAGGCATTAGGTGTTCCAGCACTCTTTCCATACCCCAGTCCATGCCAGTGACCCCACTCATGACCACTTATGCAAGTAGTAAGTGCAGTTGTAGGGGTCAGTGCAGCCATGATTGCTTCTCTCTCAGTCAGACTCAGCTTGCAAGCAGCATGACCCCCTTACCTGCTCTTCTTAGGAAATGTTGAACAGAACAGATCTTGTGGTTGGAGGTTTCCTGGTAGTGTTGATGCTTTTCATGGAAGTCAAAAGGTCAGACTTTGTGGTTGGAGAGTTCCTGGCATTGTCAAAAAGGCAATGTCTAGGAGGGAGGGGGTAGTAGCAGAGAGTGACCACAGGACCTGCTGAGACCTGCTTTTGGAGGAACTAAGCCTTTCAAGTGTAACTGAAGACTAACTGTGCTGGAGGGCAAATGGAGATAGTTGTAGGCTGCCTGCGCCATTTGGAGCCCTGATCATGCAGTGCTCTAAAATGCAGAAGGAATGTACATGACTACAACTGACTTTCTGCCACAGAAGTTTGTTCTCCATGGAGGGCCAGTGGGTTTGGGCAGGCTGGTGGAACACAGGAGATGGAGATAGTGTGCATATTCCCCAAATGCACTTTCTCCTTTATCTCAGGAGCGGCATGATGCCTGATGAGGGCCTAAGTAAAACCCCAGAGCAGGTATGAGGGTGAACTGCTGAATCTGACATTCTGGTGTCACAAATTCACAGCAGTTAGGCTAAATAAGCAGGCATGTACCATGGTCATCTGAAATTCACTGAACTGTAGGCACAAATCGCCTGATCAGCCATTATGCTAAGGAAGTAACTTAGTAAAGGAACTGGTTTCCAGCTCCTTTCAGGCCACTAGCATGCCACAAGCTTAGGGAGAATGTAGAATAGCAGGGGGGGGGGAGAGATTATGTGGATCCATTTCCAAGGCTCTCAATACGAATTTCAAGGACATTGTTCTTTATTAGATTGCTTCGTAATGCAACACTATTCTCACTTTTTTAAAGAACAAATGAACTGAAATGAAGCTATCCACTTAAAAAACAAAAAGGCACGAAAAGGCATGAAAATGCAAATGTTATTAAAAACAATATTTGTTGTTGTTTAGTCGTTTAGTCGTGTCCGACTCTTCGTGACCCCATGGACCAGAGCACGCCAGGCACCTCTGTCCTCCACTACTTCCCGCAGCTTGATCAAACTCATGCTGGTAAACAATATACAATATTCAAAAAAGCAGTATGGCAGAGAAAACTGCAAAAATCTGGACTTGCCACCTAATGCATAGTAAGCTCAGTCAATCTGAACAGTTGAGAGGGTATGCTTCTCTGACGCACATTAATGCTACTGCTTTCATTCGGTGCAATGAAACAGGAAATGCAAATAAAAAAAATTAATCCTCAGTCGTGAAAATATAATGTTATTAAACATTCTAAGGGCTTGTACAATTAGGGCAGACTTCTAAAAGTTCTATAAGTTTAAACAGTTGACCATATTGTAAGAAACTCACCAAGCTTCTTAAAGACTTCATCATCAAGAGGAACGCTTGGACGATCAACAAAGTTTTCACCCTGATGGACAAGAACCTCCTTCACCAGGTGCAATCCATTCACAATTACAAACCACAGATTTCCAAACTGAAGACTGATGACATTGCCATATTTTTCTGAAAGCTGAATGGAGAGGGGGGAAGAAAGTTAGAAAGAGTATGTAATCCTTTATACAGTCATACCTTGGTTCTTGAACAGAATACTTTCTGGAAGTCCGTTCTACTTCCAAAAACGTTCTGAAACCAAGGTGCAGCTTCTAATTGGCTGCAGGAGCTTCCTGCACTCATTCGGAAGCTGCAGAAGCCGCATCGGATGTTCAGGTTCCAAAGAACTTTCACAAACCAGATCACTCACTTCCAGGTTTGTGGCGTTCGGGAGCCAAAATGTTCGAGTCACAAGGTGTTCAACAATCAAGGTACGACTGTGTTAATCTGTCTGCTTGATGCTTATTGAATGGAAGGAGGAAAATTGACCGCCATCAAATTCATCAGAAATAGCAGGAATGCCTACAGGATTTTCTGGGCTGGGATGCTGTGTCTGAATGGGTCCCCTCCTGAAATCTATTAACAAGATGGGCCATTTATGGTAGTCTAGCCTACCTTATAGGGACACAGGTGGCACTGTGGTCTAAACCACTGAGCCTAGGGCTTGCTGATCGGATGTTCGGTGGTTCGAATCCCCGCAACGGGGTGAGCTACCATTGTTCAGTCCCTGCTCCTGCCAACCTAGCAGTTCGAAAGCACATCAATGTGCAAGTAGATAAATAGGCACGGCTCCGGCGGGAAGGTAAACGGCGTTTCTGTGCGCTGCTCTGGTTCGCCAGAAGCAGCTTAGTCATGCTGGCCACATGACCCAGAAGCTGTATGCCGGCTCCCTCGGCCAATAAAGCGAGATGAGCGCCGCAACCCCAGAGTCGTCCGCAACTGGACCTAACAGCAGGGTTACCTTTACCTTTAGCCTACCATTCAGAGTTGTTGCAAAGATAAAAGACAGAACAGAAGGATAATGTGTACAACCTTGAGCTCCCATGTGAAAAATCAAGAAACAAATATGTAGTGTGTGTGTGTGTGTGTGTGTGTGTGTGTTTGTGTTTGTGTGTGTATACAAGATACAAATATATGTCAATTACAGATTATGTAAAAAAAAAGCTGGAAAAGCAGCCTCCTTGCTTTAACTGCAATATTTTATGATCCTACTATTTATAGCAAAATACGGAACTAAACCAAAACAGTTTGCCAACCCAACTCTCACCCCAGATCACAGAGCTGATCTGAGGCAGCTAGAGCTGCAACATTAAAGGCCCAGTTTCTAATGGAAACTAAGCCATAGCTGTCAACTTTTCCCTTTTCTTGTGAGGAATCCTATTCGGAATAAGGGAATTTCCCTTTAAAAAAGGGAAAAGTTGACAGCTATGAACTAAGCACACCTCTGGCATTCCGTTCTAAGAACCATAGCACTGGAAAGCTAGCTTCTTAACATTTATTTATTTTTATTAAAGCACAGGTTCTATCTTCTTTTTAAAAACAAAAATAAAGTATTATTTTTCTTAATTTTGACCTGAAATTTGAAAATGAGTTCGTGGCAAGGGCAGGAGACATCCCCTCTCTCTCACACACACAGCCCCCCGCAAATACACAATGCGGCTGCAAAGCTGCACCAGATCATGCTGTATATTTGGGCCTAAGGCAAAATTTGAGAAAAGCAAACTTTCCGCTGGATTGAGGAGCCGAGAGAGATCTAGCTGGTCGCTATGCTGCGCAAGCAGAGATCAGGACTTCCTTCTTGGGCAGAGAGGAAAAAGGCAGGGGGAGTGAAAGGAGCCTGCTAACAAAATAGAAGCATTCATCAACTGACTTACTTAAGCTTTAGAAAATATACCTCTGGATACCAGATGCTTTTAACAAACAACAGAAAATGCATTTGTCTTCATGCCCCATTTGTGGTCTTCTCCAAGACATCTGGATGCTGACTCTCGGAATCAGGTTTCCAGACCAGGGGGCATCTCAGCCTGCTCCCTTCTGCTGCAATTTTGTATTTATCTCATGCCAGCTGAGTCCTTCATCAAACTGACCATTTCCTTCATCCTTACCTTTTGTACTGAAAGATGAGTCTTCTTCAAATCCAAACTGAGTGCATTGCCCAGCAAGGGAAGAGCTATGGGCCCTGGGGGGAAATCCTTTGGGCGACTCTTGTAACCAGAAAGAAGTAGAAATGTAGCCAGAAACACCAGAATGACCTGCAGGGACAAGGCCTCCCAGAGGACAGAGAGCAGCTGGAGCAGCATCTTCAAAGCCTTCTAGCCTTCCTTTGTCAGAACAGACAGCTCTGTGTCGAGGGAAACTTGATTCTGATCCAGCTAGAGCAACCACACCTGCCCTCTTGGTCAATGTGCCTGTGAGAAACAAGGGCAAAGTCTGCACATATTGTTTTAAATCGCGCACATAAAGAGGAAGAACCAAGATTACTCATTGGTTGAGTAATTCTACCTACAGTGAAGGGGGGGGGGAGAGATTAGTTTTCTTATATAGAATCTATCATTTGTGTTTTCAATTATTTGAAAAGTTTCCATCCCAACATTTATAAGAATTCTCTTCAAGTGCAAATCAAAACTCTCTCTCTCTCTCTCTCTCTCTCTCTCTCTCTCTCAACTTCTTCTCTGGAGGATGTTTCTATGAGACCTTACTAAGTCCTATGAGAGTACAGACTTGATATGTAAACAATACAGTATATAGTTTTTCTATTAGTAGCTGCTTATTTGACAGTCTCACAGGGCTGGAAGGAATTCTCAGGTTTTTCTTTAAATATTTGGCTGCATCATACAATGTTTATACTCATACCTGAGAAACTGACTTAAAACTAAGGGTATGTCAGGGTGCAAATAGACCTGTGAATTTTGCTCTGTTGGCAGGCATTCCTTACTTACCGGTATATAATAGGCCAATCTCAAGGATAGCAAGTCCCAATGAAATATGGCATTAATTTGTATTCATAACATTTGTTTTTGTAGTTTCTGTATCAGGTAGGATTTTGTTGTACCACCTAATTAAATGTGTAGTCTCCTGAAAATGGACTTTATTTTATGAGGTAATGGGCAGGAACCCTGCTTTTTTACAGTTATTCTTTTTTTTCTTTATTATATTTCATACCTCTTACTGGGTCATTTTTTAAATTCCATAATGAAGTCTCAAAAGTATTATTTTTTAAAAGAACACTAGACATGAGATTAGTTCAGGCCAAACATTTATCTGGTTCAAGACTCTCTAAGAACTTCAGGCACAATGTCCCCAAGAAATATCTGCATTAATTTTTTTCAATTGGGCTTTTTAAAGCTGCACACAACAGAACTGAGGGAAAGGAGACACATCTCTTCTGAGCTGGATCCGTTTCTGCTCCAGCCCCTGTGAAAATGAGCAATACCTGCTAATTCAGCCTCAAATATTTTTAGATCCCTGCTCGAATCATCCTTGGTCGCTGACCAAGCTGGTTGTGGACCATGGGAGTTGTAGTCCTGCAGAAACTGGAGACCCAAGGCTGGAGAACTCTGCACTAAAATGACAATGGCAGGCCAAGAAAGAAAAAACCTTTCCAAATCCTCAGCCTTATTTCATATTTACCATTACAAACTATTTCTACCTAAATCTCCCGGAAAATTTTCATTCTTCCTGAATGACAAGCCAGTAGTTCCAGTAAATGATTCATCTTACATTGTTTTTGTTCTATTTAAAACAGTGGACTAGAGTCCGACTCTGGCAAATTCACTATTCATGATTAGGAATGAAAAGGTAGCTACAAATGATCAGTTGGTTGCTACTAGTTGCCGCGCTCTAATATAAGATGTTGCGGTAAACTGTCAAAAGGATACCCTCTTGTGGTTTTAACTTGTAATTGCGCACCAACCACCAAATTGATGCGTCTATTTTCTAACGGCTGATTCAGTTTTCACACAGTTACCCACTATGTTAATAACAACAATGCTTTCGGAAAAGAATAAAACATGTGGAAAATTCCTTGGCCACGTTCATGAGTTGTATGTGAAATTTTGATTTTACTATATTTATAAGCACATTTAAATTTTTTGCTGGGACTGGGGCCAACAACAGAGAACAAAGTGCATGAATGGTTCATTCCAATGTGTTGATGCAGTTAACGTATGAAACTCTTTGCCAGTTCATTTCACAACAAAATGTTTCTTGCAAAACATTCTAATTATAGAACCACAGGCAGGACTTTCCATTAGACTCTCATCTTGAGTTGGGATCACCCACATTCCTACAAGCAAACCAATGCCTTCTCTTCACCACAGCCAAGGACAATACCAGAGGACAACCAGGTCAGGCTCCCAGGAGCCCACCACTTTGGACCCAAGCCTACAGCAATAGCACCTACCAGCTGCCCTCCTCCTGGAGAAGACAGGTTAGAGTAAAGACATGGGATTGCAGGCTCTTCTGAAGAGAGCCCACAGTGTCTCGGAGACAGGAGCGCCAACTCGGAGCTTCCTTTTAAGAAAGAAAAAGCAAGCCGCTGGGTTCCCTTCTCCTGAGAGAAGAGAGAGAGAGAAACAAGCAAAGCCCTCCCTGCTTTCAGCCAATGAGCAAAACTGCAATGTTTGGACACCAGCTAGCAACAGCTGATGCGAACACCCCAGGGTCCTAAACAGATGCTGATTCAAGTTTTCTATCCTGCCTTTGTCTTGCTGTTCATTTTGCATAGCAGCTAGGATGAGTCTGAGACAGGTACTCCTCCCTAGAAGCCAGTGCTTTTTTTCGGGGGGGGGGGTGTGCAAGGGTACGCAAACTCCTAAACTCTTTGTGAATCTTTCTACTTTTCTCCATTTACTATATTTATTTTCCCTGATTTGAACTATAAAATGGTGATTTTCTTGAGTCAAAATGAGAGTACCCCTAAACATTTTTTTACAGGGGAAAAAGCACTGCTGGAAGCTAGTTTGTGCAAATATTGTGCTGGAGGATAGGATAGGCTAAGGTCCAGGAATTTATTTAGAATTCAGTGCACAGTTAACTTACAGAGGTTAAGCTCAGAGGTTAAGCCTTTCATGTTCAATGGACATACTCCCCAATAAATCAAATTGGGTATGGGATTGCAGTAATCAAACTAGAGTTGAAGAATTTAAGCTCTACTAAATTGTTGGGGGCAGGGGAGAGAAAAAGATGTCCCTTCAGTCTTGCTTACCTTTCTGTTTGCTGTCTTTCATCCCCCAACCCCATCAAGGCATTCAAGTGAAACCTTCCACTTCTGTGCCTGTTTACTCAGAAGTAAATTCCAATGTGTTCAATGAAGCTTGCATATGGGCAACATACTGTAGTTTTCCTTGTATAAGATGAGGGTTTTTTAATTATAGAATCATCTAAAAAAATGAGGGTTGCTTATACACGAATAGTGCATAGGGGGAACCTGCCGCAAGCAGGAGATTGTCAGTGGTGATTGGGTGGGTGATTGGTGGCTGTGGCAAGGGCTGGTGTTGATTGGCTGTCTCTGTGGTAAGTGGTTGGCCGATTGGTGGCAGCTGGCATTGAGGGGGCTGACGATAGGTGGCTTCAGTGATGCATGCATGAGTCAGCGTAGGTCAGTTGGGTGAGCGATTTTTTGCAATCCCCCCTAAAGAAACTCAACAACTCTGGGCAATCTCCCCCCATTTTCTTAATTAGGAGTCTCCAAAAATAGGGGGCGTCTAATATACACAGTGGTTTATACACAGAAAAATATGGTATATAGGGTTGCAGTCTCAATCTTAATGCAGGAGGTATGTTGTTGTTGTTGTTGTTGTTGTTGTTGTTGTTGTTGTTGTTGTTGTTGTTGTTGTTGTTGTTGTTATATTTGTACCCCACCTTTTCTCCCGATGGGACTCAAGGAAGTTAACCAATAAAAACAAGAAACACTAAAAACATAGGAAAATTGACATTAAAATCAATTAAACATTAATAGAATTAAAATGATATGTAAAATCTGTATAAAATCTACTAAAAATTACAGTAAGAAACAGCAGGGTACTAGCCCTTTCATTAAAAGTAGTCAGTTCCCAGAAGCCTGTTGGAACAGGAAGATCTTCCCCTGCAGTGGAAGGACCACAAGGAGGGAGCCAGCTTAGCTTCTTCAGGAAGGGAGTTCCAAACTCTGGGAGAAGCTACCGAGAAGGCCCTATTCTGTGTCCCCACCAACTGTGCCTATGAGGGTGGCAGGACCAAGAAAGGGGCCTTCCCTGAAGACCACAAAGCCTGGGCAGGCTCTTACAATAGAATACAGTTTTTCAGATAGCTTGGACCTAAGGCGCATAGGGCATTATGGGTTTTAGCTATGTGCAGCTGCTGTTGTATTTGGTTACATTCCGGGTTTTTTATCATTATTTATTTTTCTTGTTAGAATTTATATAGCCATCAGGTCTATATTTACATACCACTGAGTGGGAGATGACAATTCTGAAAGCTCCAATGAGGTCAACAGCAGTTGGGTATGTTTAGCCTCGAAAAGAGGAGACCAAGAGGAGATAAGATAGCCATCTTCAAATATCTCAAGGGCTGTCACATGAATGATGGAATAAGCGTTTTTTCTCTCCTGCTCTGGTGGGTATCAAATTACAAGAAAGGAGATTCTGACAAAACTTCAGAAAGAACTTTCTGACAGTAAGAGCTGTTCATCAGTGCAATGGACTTCCTTGGGAGGTTGTGGGCTCTCCTTCCTTGCAGACAGACGTAAAGCATCAGTCATTGATGCTTTAGTTGAGATTCCTGCATTTCAGGGGGTTGAACTATATGCCCCTGGGGGTCTTTTGCAACTCTACGGTTCTATAGCTCCAAGTGTGTAGAGGACAGATAGCAGATTAAGTTGCCTCTTGACAAAATATAAATGTAACTACTGAAATACAGAGGTTTGTGAGGTTTTTTGAATAATAGGAGATTGCCATAATTGATATAAACAATTAGTTCAAAGGGATGAGGCCAAGAGGGAGTGGTGTGGCTAGAGGAAACAAAGGGACCACAGATATCCTGTGTCAAGGGACAACAGAAACCAGGAGATGCAGATACAGATTTAGGAGAGCATGAACTGTTTGGTGGCACTGGGCATGCAGCCTCAAGGGCACTGCAGGGGACGTTGAAACTATGATTTAGAATGGAGCGTGAGAGGCAGGGGGTGCTGAACATTGGCATCATGCAGGTCGCCAAGGTCTGCCACTGCCCTGACCACAATATGGACACAACTTGTCTGCTCAGCTCTGAGATAAGCAGATACTTCTTTTAGGACAAGAAGGCTTTCAGTCATCCTTGGAAGGTTCTTGGAAGGTCTCTTGTTTTATCAATAAGTCACTGACCTTTTGTAGTGTCTTCTGCTAGGGCTACTTCCACATTAGGGGAGGAATTCGATAATGTGCAATAACACCAACAGGGCAAGCATTTCAGCTTGCCAGGCAGACAGACCACCTGCTGTCTCCCTGCACCCCGGTATACTCGCACTTAAGCCATTTTTTTTGGGGGGTGCCCCTGGAGAAGTGGAGGGTAACCGTCTTGTGCAAGCTTGAGCATCAAAGTCTACAACTTGGAGTTCCAACTGAGCTCTTTTATTGCGATACTTATAAGACATTGCTCTAGTTGTGCCACAGGGACCATTTTAAAAGTGACATACTTGAGATCATTTATGAGAAGAACCACACACCAGTCATGCAGATTGAACTTGAGGCCTTCTAAATACAATGGACATGCATTACTATTGAGCATTGACTACTGAGCTGTCCCCCTAAGGGCAGAAACTAAGGAGGCAGTGCTGGCCAAATTCTTCACCATCTTCTTTTAATGAGCAGTTCCATAAAATGAGTCCCCTCAGCGAGAGATTGCGCATATCCGGTATGGCTGGGGGGATAACGTAAGACCTGACCGATGGTCAAGGCTTAATGTCACGCCTTTTGGAGCCTGGAAAGTGAACTTCTGAAGTAGGGCAGTGAAGAAAAGAAAAAGCTCAGTCCTGGCCAATTGTTCTCCAAGACAAACTCGCTTTCCTAAAAGGGGAGGAGAGAGAGAGAGAGAGAGAGAGAGAGAGAGAGAGAGAGAGAGAGAGACTATGTTAGTAGAGAGTTTACATCAGGGTTCAGCAACCTTTTTCAGCCGTGGGCCGGTCCATTGTCCCTCAGACCATGTAGTGGGCTGGACTATATTTTTTTTTGGGGGGGTGAACAAATTCCTATGCCCCACAAATAACACAGAGACGCATTTTAAATAAAAGCACACATTCTACTCATGTAAAAACACACTGATTCCCGGACCGTCCATAGGCCGGATGGAGAAGGCGATTGGGCCACATCTGGCCCACGGGCCTTAGGTTGCCTACCCCTGGTTTACATCTTTATAGCAATCTCTGTAAATCATACTTCTCAAACCAATACATGAACACACACAAAATACAGCCATTGTTTGAAATTTACAGTGTTGTTCTCCAACCAACCAATGTGTACAAAAATGCATATTAAGGGAAAGTGTAAAAAAAATATGCCTATATCAGAGAAAAGAACATACAAAAATCCATTATATTAGGGGACTTGTTTACAAAATTGTGTATATTAGTCACAGTGAGATTTAAAAATGTGTCAATAAGAAAAACATGCACCAAAATGGGTTTTCTGTGGGAAACTGAATGTAAGATTGGGAAAATGAAGGAAACCAAAGTTGACAGATCCATCCATCCCTAGCCTTACAGCTTCCCTCTCACATTCCAAAAATGTGAAGAAGGCAAACAGGTTTTATTTATTTCATAAAATTTATATACCGTTTGATTGTAGAAAACATCGTAATTATGATTCAGTTAATAATTCCCCGAGAAGTTGCTTACTTTCTGAGCTGCATAGTGAGAAGCAGGCTCCTATTCTCAGGGTGCAGTGAAGAAAACAACACTTTAACAATACAGCCTAACTCCCTGTGGGCTGCTCATGAAAGATATCAGGAAACACCCCCTCAAAAATCCACACTGCGCTAGTGTCAGCACCATTTTGTGTTACACCATACACCCCAAAGGGCAGCCATTTTGTGACTGGTGCCCACAGCACTTTCTTAAATGCCAGATGTGCCCACTGGCTCTAGGAGGTTGGTGACCACTGCAATACACAATATAGTTAGCAATATACCAAGGTCTCAGTAACTAAGCTGCCATCATATAGCCTGTAATGCGTATGGGTTGCTCGTGCGTAAACTGCCGCCTCTCCAGGCTAAATTGCCTTGTTAAACCTTTCTGACTTCTCATCGTGGCTGCCTCAGTCGCTAGCAGAATCCGTCAGTGGGCGTTTCTTAAACCTCTTCCAGCATAAAAGTTGTTTGACGCCCAGTCTCCTCCTCCTCTCACTGCACGGGAGTCTTCTGTGCAGGGAGGGCGTGGGTAGCGGAGGACCTGTGCTCTCTCCGCTGATGTCCAGTGAAGAGTCCTGGAGCCCTCTCGCCGATTCCCCCATCTGCCCCCCTTTATCCCTGGTGTTGCGCTGATTTGCTTCCCCCTCTACTGAGCTGCCTCTCCCAGTGCTGGGCCCTTCGCCAGCATCATCTGGGAGCCTTCCCTTCGCCTCTCGCTCCAATATCAGTTCCCTGACATAGCCCTTCAACTTTTGTTACCTGCAGAGAACGGCAGGAATGCTTCCCTTCTCCGGAACTGACTGTTCTCTAGAAAATGGCCAGGATTAAACATATTGGGTGTTTCCCACTCATCCTCATCAAAGAGCACTGAGGTCAGGTTGGTGATCAATACGGTTCCCTGCCAAATAAAAAGCAGAGAAGTAGATTAGAAATGGCAAGGCGCTTTCACATATATTTGAATTTATAGCAGTACTAAGCCTCTATCCCCTGACAGAAAAAGAATATGTTCTGAATGCAATATTTACTTCTCATTATTAAGTAATTCATTCAAAGATTTCCCACAAAAGCACAGTTCCAATATAGATTTTAAAAGACATTCAAAGTCTGCTAGACTACGAAAATTCAGGGTTAGCAACACCAGATACTGGCTAATTTCTGACAGACTAGCTACCCATTCAAACTGAGACTGGTACAATTCTGTATTTAGACCACAGGTTCCCACATGGTGCCCTCCAGATGTTTGGGGATACAGCCTCATCATCCCTGCCCATCAGCCATGCTGGCAGGAACTGATGGCAGTTGGAGTCCAACAACATCTGGACGGCACAATGTTGGCTACCCCTAGTTTAAACTTTGGATTAAGGTGTGTGCAGTTTAATGGAAGAGCAAAGACAGACAAGAAGAGCAATATGTTCTTAACATTTACTTTGGGCACATGAAACCCAGCCAGTGTCGTGTCCTTAGCTGTCATCCGGGGCCCATTCAAAGGCACAATGCTGCTTATTCTTTGAACTTCATGAACAACCGCATTGGTATAGGGCATGCTGTTCCTGTCATCCATCGCTGGCTGGCGAGACTGGCCAATCACAGAATCTATTTCCTCTTGGACCCTTGCTGCAAAAAGAGAGAGAACATCTGCTATAAATAGAAGAGGAACAGACATAAACTAATATCTGTAGAGGAGGCCCATCTCGTCGTTCTACCTCTGGGTGCCCTTTGCCACCAGAGTGCCAGCATTGATTCAAGACTCCTTTTTCCCCACACAAGATCTTTAGTTGGAATGGTTCATCTTCTGCCGAAATAGAATTGTTTTGGCTGTACCATTTATTAATTATTTTCTTATCATTCCAGTTCAGTTAAGGATCACTTCCGGGCAGGCACCCCAAAGTAATTTGCAATATAATAAAAACATATGGGGGAAATTCTTGCTCTTCTGATTGCTCATTAAACAGAAGAATTGCAGTTTGCCAGATAGAAAGTTCCCTTTCCCCTTCTCCTTCTGCACTGTTCTGTGGCCTCTCCCAACCTCCTTGGACCAATTTGAAGGTGTGTGAGAGAGAAGTACAGTGGTGGGATGCTCTGTTGCACAAGTGAAGTCCTTGCACAGAGCTTCTGCTTTTATATATAAAAACATTTATAGCATATGCATATATAATTTTTTTGTGGGAATTAAACTTTACAGAGTTATGTGGAAGAGAGCCCAAGCCGTTGGTCATTCTTAGATACAAATCTATGTAATATGTATTAGTTAACATAAGTAACACCTACCTGAATTGTATGTTTAATCTAACAAGGGCAAGTACACTGAGTAAAAGTTATTCAAACTTTTAAAAAGAGTGTATTGTGTAGTTTTATTGGAGGGAAAAGGCAAAGGGTCAAACGGCTTGGTTCTACCTTGAATTTCCGGGAAAATGGCCATGTACAGCAAGGCCCAGCGCACGGTTGTGGAAGTTGATTCTGTTCCAGCAAAAAAGAGATCCAGTGTTGAATGTAGGAGGTTGTCTTTATGAAAACTGGAAGCAGCATCCTCCTTAAAACAAAGAAAATGCACCAAAGGGTTCATCTGTCGTTAAAAACACCACCCCAGTTCCAGTCCTATATATCAAGTGATGGCAATGAGATTCATGAGCTCTATTCCTGACAAGTGTCCTGCATCTAGCACAGCCAAGTCAACAGCCCTGTCAATCTGGTGAAATTCAGGCACTGGACAAGTGGGGTGATATACATTATTTCCTATTCACGTTGTGTGTGTGTGTGTGTGTGTGTGTGTGCACAACACACACAAACAAACATCTCACCAGTTTGTCTGCTTTCATACAGAGCCAATGGAAACTATATGGTGAGTTCTGATCCTTTAGATTGTGTCTCTGCTTTCTATTATTAACCATTACTACTATTAACACTACCACAAACTATACTTTTTGTTTCTTACCGTGGCCATTTGATTCAGGTACGCATCTATGAAGTCTCTGGGTTCAGATGGGTTCCGGTCTTCTTCATGTTTTTCAACGATTTCTCCCACAAAGGATTTCAGTTCTCCCCAGTTTCTTTTAACGGTCTGATGGGGCCCTGGGAAGTGCTTCATGAGAGTGGGAAATGCATTGTACAGCTGAGGAAACAAATACTAGCATCAGATTTGTGCAGGGAAAGCCCTCTCATAACAGTTGCAGATCATGCTACTATCAAAGGAGGTAGCAATCCATGCAATGGCTTCCCATGAAGATGGCTACCTGTTTGAAAAATGCATGCACCTTGCCTGATGATATCAGGAAAATGATGCCAATGTAGCTTTCCCATTTGATGATGCTTATCTGCATGGGGTGGCCTTTCACAGATTCTAATTGGTAGGTGGAGAGTAAGGAATTAAGCCGTGTATGTCACTTGGGATTGCATCACTGTGTTCATTGCAAGACATGCTCTGGATCTTAAGTCCTGCTTATGAACACCACTCAATACCCAGTGTTATTTAGCTACATAAATATTCCAGCACAGTGTGAGAATGTTTCCAATATGGAAAATAAAACTAACTAGCCTTCTCATGATATATGCTACTTGTCCAAATTCTTTGATTTTATTCAGTCACTCATGTGATTCCCCACTTAAAGGCCTAAAATGTGTCATAGCACATGATTTTTAGTTGTGGTGCCTGCCTTATAATACTGAAGACACCCATACGCCTTCAGTATTATGATAGACAATGTTAAATAAAAACAAGATGTCAAAGGGACTTGGTATGGGGTGAGATGCTTGAATTACAAGTTCAAGGGAGAAAAAGAAATCAGAACATAAAGAACAATGATGGCCCAAAGCGAATGAATGAACAGTCAACAAGAATGTGGGAGTGTGCCTGGAACCAGAGCGACTCTGTTGTGGTTACCCATAAGATCTCACAGAAGATGTACCTGAATCCAAATACTTCCCTGAAGATACATTATCTCATCAAAGAAGCGCAGAAACTTCTGGAAATTACTGTCATGGTAATCAAAGCGGTCCCCAAAAGTGACAGAACAAATGATATTTGAAACAGCATTATTAATCTGAAAGTGAGGGTCAAATGGCTGCCCTGGAGAGAGAGAGAGAGAGAAATGGAGAAGGAAATAAGACTGTTTATGGCTTCCATGTAACAAAAACAGAAGGTGGTGGAAGTTGGTGTGTCTGGACAGGGTATGGGGGGGACAGCAGAGGTTTTTCAGATAGAGTATGTTTAGATGGCGCAGTGATGGAGTTTTATACCCTTAGTGGCACATGCTATAGGTATAAGCTATCTAGCACATTGTTCTGTGAGATGTTGTTTTGAGGTTGTGGGGGCCAGACCCCCTAAATCCCTGGGTGCAGCAAGTGTTAAAACATAAGCCAGGCTACCTTCCTTATGAGGTGATTACCTGGGGGATGGGTTATTATGGGAAACAAAGGAAAGGACCTCTGTGGGAGACTGCAAGCACTCCCATTGGGAGTGTTAATATTGTGACTCCCTTGCCCCATCCTAGGCTCATGTTGTATACGTGCGTAAATAAACCATATATCATAAATGGACCTTAGTCTCTTTAAAAAAGGAAACACAAAGGTTGGGAAATCTCAGACTGCTTGGAGGTTGGGCGTGTGTGCAACAATGTTTTGCCAAGGCAGTAGGTTTGGCAACAAAGGCCTGCAAAAATGACAGAGACAGAAAATATACACAGGAACTATTGCACAAATTCCATTTGTGACTTTGTCAAAGCTATCAAAATTGGCACACTTCCCTCAAAACACACAGCGTACCAATTCTGTTGCTCTCCTATACTAGTTAAGTGACTTTGGGTTTCAACTGCAGGTCTCACTGCATACATGGAGCCTGACCTTAGCAGAGGCTTCTGCGTTTTAATGGCAGCTGAACTCCTACGTGCCACAATGGACTGAGTTTTGCATTGACACCCATCTAACCATGAGGATGTCCCAGCTTATGCAGAGCTGCACTTGCACAAAGCAGCACTTGAAAGCTTCATACCACGACAAATGTATTTTTTAACCTTTCATATGAAATAGGCTTTTTTGACTCTAGTTCGCACCTTTCTCAACTTCAATAGCTTCCTTTAGGTATCGGCTCTCCTCCTGTATTCGTTCTTCTAAAGTCCTTTTACCCAAACCAAAGTTTCTGAGCGTTGATATGGCAAATCGTCTCTGTTGTTTCCAGGTAAGACCATTAGAGGTCAACACTCCTAGATGAGAAGAAATAGCAAGCAGAGCAGGGCAACCAAGATGATTAAGGGTCTAGAACAGAAGTCTTATGAGCAATGCCTGAGGTAGCTGGGCAAGTTTAGCCTGGAAAAGAGGAAACTTGAGAGGAGATATGATAACCATCTTAGGACTGTCACATGGAAGATTGAGAAAGTTTGTTCTCTCCCTCTCTGGAGAACCCAAACCAATGGCTTCAAGTTACAAAAAAGGAGATTCTGACTAGACACCAGGAAGAACTTTGTGACAGTAAGAACTGTTTGACAGTGGAATGGACTTCCCAGTAAGCAACAAAAATCCACTGAGTGTGCAGGTGGGAGGAAATGAAGAGGGAGCATGGAAAGTGTCCCCCACCCTTTATTTATTTACCCTCCCCCCACATAAGGTTGCACTCCCATATGTAAAATAAGAGGAGGTTATTAGCCCACTGTACTAACTTTGCCCTGTGAAAAAAATTGGGAACTGTGATGGAAAGGCAGCATATGTTTGAAATACACAAAACGAAGTAAACGTATAGGAACACGTAAAGCAGTCAATATATATTTTACAAATGTCCCTTCTGCACTGAAGCCCTTTAGGACACTCTGGAATTGCTTTTCTAGATTAATGGTACTTGTTTAATGTTTATATGGTCTTGATTATTTAATGATATTTCTGGTTTTTTTCCATTTATTTTTGGCTTTTTGATTAGATAGGCAATAGGAAATGATGAGATAATGTTATTTAAACAATTGACCATAATTAAAAGTAACTCACCCAATCCCCTAGTGATTTCCTTGGTAAAAGGAAGATTTGGACGATCTATGAAGTTTTCACCCTGATGGACAAGAGCTTCTTTCACCAGACGCAATCCATTCACAATCACGATCCATGTTTTCCCAACCTGAATGCTGAAGACATTGCCATATTTTTCTGCCAACTGGAAGGAGAGGAAGAATGCAAGACAGGATAACATATCCCTATGTGGTCTTTATTAATATTCTATATTAATTTGCCTGCTTGATGTTTATAGAATGCCTGTATGGAAGATGTAATCTTGGTTTCTCTCAAATACACCAGGGACATCAGAGATGCCAAAAGGGTTTCCTGGGCTCAGTACATCGACAGGCCCCCTCCATTCTCCTCCTGCAATCTATTGGCAAGAGCTGCTGCTTCTGCACATATATTAACTTAGGCCAGCCTACAACACAGGAATGTTGCAAAGATAAGAGCAGGAGGGTAGGCTAACGTACAACAAAACACACAAACAAAAGCACACACACACATTTTTCCAGTCTTGATAAGGGTGAGGGGATCCTTATAGTAAAGCATCTTCTATAGGAATTTTAATATGCTTGCCAGTTGTGGCTTTGTGGGACGTGGAAGATCAGGGAGCACTGCATATCATCATGTTCTTCTCAGTATGAAGTTATTTTTTTTCAAAGGAGTTAAATAATTTAAAACATTTCATTCTATAAAAGCAACACACTAGGGGAAAGAAGGAAATAACATAGACACAAAAAAATGTTTTGTGTACACAAGTGTTCCTCTCCACTCATCCAGCTTGAGGCTTGCAGCAACAAGAAGCTTTTACTTTTTTATTATAAGTTTCTTTAGAAATATCTAATTTACTTTAAGAGAGCGAGCTTTGGGTCCCTGTTGGCTTGGAGCCTTGTACATATGTACCCTATGTACCCCTCTGTCAGCAGTTGTAAGGGATAGCCAATATTGTGTCCTCAGTGCCATAGTGTGAGGGGGACAGGAAAAAGTAAGAAAAAATGATGGGACTTCCCAGCTTCCTGCTGTCCTCTTCCTGCCTCCTTAGATTCAAAAAGTGTCTTTTTAAAAAGAAACGTCCTATTGCACTAACTGACCCCAAGCAAGCAAGCAAGCAAGCAAGCAAGCAGAAAGTTGTGTTTGATGTGTCACGTCTATTAGGTATATGTTGTTGTTTAGTCGTTTCCAACTCTTCATGACTACATGGACCAGAGCACGCCAGGCACTCCTGTCTTCCACAGGTATATAGTCTAAGCAAACCTGCGAAACTGTTTGGCATCCTGTTTAAGAGGGGAACATGAGAAAAGCAAACTTACCTCTGGGCCAGAGCTGGACAGAGCTAGCTGGTCATTAACATACCCAAGCAATACGTGGCTCATAGCAAATATGTGACTTTTTTCTGACCAGAGTTAGAGCGAAAAGGAAGAAGTGGTGGAAATAACCTGCTAACAAAATAGAATCATGCAAACAACCAACCTACCTTTTATGGCAGGTGTGGACACAGGTTTGTTACCAATGACTGTTAGGCAAAATAGATCCCCCAGATTCAGAGGCCATACACATCTGGATACCAGATGCTGGGAACAAACCATAGGAGATGCATTTGCCTTCATGCCCCAGCTGTGGGCTGCTCAGAGACCTCTGGCTGGCTGCTCTTGGAATCAGGATGCTAGACTAGGGCATCTACTGTAAGCCTCATCTTCCAGTGAGGCTTCTACGCTCCTTTCCACTGCAACGTCACCTGTTTTCTCATCATCTGGTTCATTCCTTCATTCTTACCTTCCGTGCTGCCAAATGTGGGTCCTTTGCACCAAAATGTGGTATATTACCCAGCAAGGGAAGAGGCCTGGGCCCTGGGGGGAAATCCCTTGGACGAATCCTTTTCTTGTAATCAGCAAGAAGTAGAAATGTTGCCAGAAACACCAGAACGATTTGCAGGGACAAGGCCTCCCAGAGGACAGAGAGCAACTGGAGCAGCATCTTGGAACCTTTCAAGCCTTCCTTTGTCAGAGCAGACTGTTTTCTGTTGGGAGAACAGAAATCTGATCCCAGGAGAGCAGTTATACCTCTCCTCTTGGTTAATGTTTCTGTAAGAAACCAGGGCAAAGTTTGCAACCCATATACTGCTTTACATCACACCAACCAGGAGGCTGAAGGAGATGGCTTATTGAGTAACTCTTCTTAGGGGGAAGGGGGAGAGTAGTTTTCTGAATATTTCCTTCTTGTTTTCACTTTCAACACACACACACACCCACACACACCCACACCCTTTTCACATGTACTAAATGTAGCTTAAAATACCATAAGCAACAATAGTCTGTCATTTCTTGGAAAAAGGTGTAACAGCATCTTTAAGTTGGAACCACTACTTAAAACAGGTTTGTGACACATATTAAAGACTCAAAACCAATAAGTTTCTCCAGTTCTTTCTAAGGGTCTGGGGAGGTTGTCTCAACGGATCACCTCATCTCATATAGGATAGGACTCATCTTGCCTCTGGCTGCTCAGACCCAACAGGTTAAATTTCACTTGTTTTGAAGAGTAAAGATTAGTATCTTAACTGACATTTGTAGAAGAATTATCTGCAAGTGCAAATCAATGCTAGCTCTTTGATATATTCAGACCAGAACAGGTTCAGCAACTCCCAATTCTAAAGTCAGTTTCCTACAAACACAACCCCCGCCTACAATCCAAAATCTGATGTGGGGTGGTGTGGGATGGCTGGAGATATTTTATTTCTTTATTTTATATTTACTTTTAAATTATTACGATTATATTCCACCTATGGTGGCATTAATGGTTCTCCTCTTCCTCATTTTATCATCACCCAGTGCGCTTCATGGCTGAGTGAGGAGTTGAATCCTTGTTGCCCAGGTCCTAGTCCACTTCATATCCTTCCATCTTACTCCACCTTCTGGAAAAGAAGATGCAGAAGTGAACAAGCTGATGGTAAAGAGAGAGAGAAGCTCTCGACTCTCAAGCTGGCCCTGAGCAGATGTAGATTTAGGGGAGAGTGGCAGGGATGCTGCAACTGTGATTTAGAATGGAGTGAGATAAGTGGGGGGGGGCGGCGACCATTTTTGGCGTTGCACAGGCTGCTCTTGAAATTTGAGATCCCAAAGTCCACCACTGTCTTGACCACAACATGGACACAACTCAGGTCCTTTTTAGGAAAAGAAGGCTTTAAGTCACCCTTGAAAGTGTAGCAGGAACCCCCCCACCCCAATCATTCAGTTTGTACAAACTTCACACACACTCACACACTACATACGCCACACTTCTGTTATAAATTCATAGAAAAATCAACCATACATCGGATTTGCACTGTTCCACTTTTATTTTACTCCATGAAGGAAAGACTACAAAATGGGGAAGGTTTGATACAGGGCACCATAATCCCTTCATCATCCCAGCACATCCACAGGAGCCCTGCCCAGTTGCTATGCCAACCCTGATGGTCCTAGACAGAAGACAATCAAGATCACAAAGAACTTCCATATGGGAGTGGATTCAGCATGGACTGGAACAAAGGACAATGATCAGATCTTCCCTCAGGGGGCAGGAAACTGCGACTACCTTTTGTCTTCAGAAAATGACTCATGGGGAGGAGGAGGAGGGAACCAGCCAGGTGACAGGACACTCAGGTTACCACCACAACTCCTCCCTCAACCCCTCCTTTCTGTAATGTATGCATGATGTTTCTGGGGGTGGGCTTGACCTAGAGGAGGGGAATTTCAAAAGTTTTTATAAGGTCTTGCACACCATTTTTCTGTGTCTTTCCTCTCTCCTGCAAGTGAGGGGAACACCCTGTTGCAACAGTTCAATAAAGGCCAAGCCTACAGGCTGCTGATTTGCTCCAATTTACTCTGGTTGGTGTCTTTACTTTTTGTCCAAGGGAGCCCTCAGATTTTTCCGGTAACAAAAGGAAGGTCTCTAGTTCTACAAATTAGTCACTGAACTTTCAGAGTGTCTTCTCGCTGCTTCCCTCTAGGGCTACTTCTACATTAGGAGAGGAATTCAACAATGTGCAAAAGCTCCAGCAGGGCAAGTATTTCAGATTGCCAGACAAATAGATTCCCACCCCCTCACCCCATACTCTCACCTGAGCCAAGTTTTTAGGGGGGTTCCTCTGGAGGAGAGTGGGGGGGGGAGCCCTCTTGTGCAAGCAGAATCCCACCCCATATATCTTAGATGTACTCCTACAAGGGTTTCCTCACAACTCTCCATGCCCTTAACAGGATTCTATGACAGTATAAAACTGTATGATACTGCTGTATATGTATATAGTGCAAATACTGCCTATTGTCACAGACTCAGTTTGGGGTAGAATTGGTATGGAAACTTTAAACAACAGTCTTGCTGTATATTGCCAGGGTTGATCAGGCCTGAGACACACCGCATGGGATCTTTTCTTTGCCAAAGGGGAATGCAAGGAGAACAACCAGGGTAATCAACCAGCCCAAAAATGAAAGTTCAAGGCTTTATTACCAAATCAAGTATTACACAATTTAGAACTTTTTATCACTAGTGAAGAGAAGTCCTGAGAGAAGGGAATAGAAATTAGAATGAAGAAATTATCCTACAAAGGTAGACTACCATTTAAAAGATGGGTTATAAATAAACACACCCCAAGGATCCAGGCTAGCAATCCTTTTAAAATCACTCTGTTCACCTATGTCATAAGCACTGATGTCTGTAATAAACATTAACTTGCTAGATTGCCAAGTACACAGGTTGGCCTTTGCTAGATTGGCCCAAGTACACAGTGCTTCTGAACTGGTGTTGCCAACTTACTAAAACTTTTTAGTAAGCCTTTTTCATTAAATTAACTGTTTGAACCAAATTAAAATTTGCCATGACCTGTAGACCAACTACAGTTTGAATATCGAAGTCTACAATTTACCAGACATCTGAACCTTTCTCAATAGTAAGTTATTGATCTGGCATTTGAATGTTGAAGTGGTTCAGGTACAAGGCTTTGCTGGTTTATAAGACATTGCCCTAGCTGTGCCCCCCAGGACAATTTTAAAAGTCACATACTTGAGATCATTTATGAGAAGAACCACACACCAGTCATGCAGATTGAACTTGAGGCCTTCTAAATACAATGGACACGCATTACTATTGAGCATTGACTACTGAGCTGTCCCCCTAAGGGCAGAAACTTAGGAGGCAGTGCTGGCCAAATTCTTCACCATCTTCTTTTAATGAGCAGTGCCATAATATGAGTCCCCTCAGCGAGAGATTGCGCATATCCGGTATGGCTGGGGGGATAACGTAAGACCTGACCGATGGTCAAGGCTTAATGTCATGCCTTTTGGAGCCTGGAAAGTGAACTTCTGAAGTAGGGCAGTGAAGAAAATAAAAAGCTCAGTCCTCGCCAACTGCTCTCCAAGACAAGCTCGCTTTCCTAAAAGGGAGGGAGAGACGGAGGGGGGGGGAGAGAGAGAGAGAGAGAGACTATGTTAGTAGAGTTTACAGCTTCATAGCAATCTTCCTAAATATGAATACAGACATGCATATACACACACACAAAACAGCCATTTTTTTGATATTTACAGTGCAGTCTCCAACCAACCCATGTGTACAAAAAGACTTATAAAGGGAAAGTGCCAAAAATTTCATATATTAGCGAAAAGAACATACAAAGATTCATTATATTAGAGGAATTGTTTTACAAAATTGTGTAAATTAGTCACAGCGAGCTTTAAAAATATGTCAATAAGAAAAACATGCACTTAAATGGGTTTTCTTTTCTATTGCAGATTGCTGCTGAAATGTGGAGAATTGAATTTAAGATTGGAAAAATGAAGGAAACCAAAGTTGGCAGAGCTGTCCATCCCTAACCTTACAGCTTCCCTCTCACATTTCAAAGATGTGGAGATTTATTTATTTTATTTATTTCATAAAATGTATATACTGCTTGATTATAGAAAACATCATAAAAACCAACTATCATTCAGTTAATATCCAATTAACTGTCTTAACCCAAAACTCTGCATTCACTTTGACCCTCCCCAAAAAGATCTTACAAATGTTTCAGGAAATTGCATCAATTTTTAGGAACTCAGGATGGAAATTTGTGCTTTTGTTTTTTGGAGAAAGGGCCACATTAGACTAACTGAAAACATTCAGCTTAGAACAGGCAATAAAAAATAAGTCAGTCAGTCAGTCAATCAATCAATCAATAAAGTTGTTGGAGGGACCAAGCAGTGGGAAGGGCCAGACCACAATGTAGACATAATGTCACACACACACAACACAACACAGTGAGAGTAACATGAGGTGCTGGGAGAGGAGTCGGAGAGTAAGGTTAAGGGGTGGGGGGGGAGAGCAATGCTAGGAGCTGGAAGGAGGGAAGGACAGCAAGCTGAAAGGATGAGGACGGTAGGGCAAAAGCAGTTTACCCACAGGGAAACAGATCCCTTTCCCCCACAAGTGGCTTACTTTCTGAGCTGCATGGTGAGAAGCAGGGTGCAGAGAAGAAAACAACTGTGTGAACATGGAGAGGGAAGCTTGCACACACAATGTTTCTCATGTTCCCTGAGGGGAAACCCAGTAAACCAGGGGTCAGCAACCTAAGGCCCATGGGCCGGAAGTGGCTCGCAGAGGTCGTTTGACCGGCCCACGAGCCGCCCCTGAACTGAGCTGCCTGCTCGCACACTGCACTAAACCAGAGCAGAACTGTGCAGGGACTCGCTTCCGCGGCACCATGAACAGATGCCGAAAATTGCACCTGCACAGATGCAGACACCGAAAATCGCAGGTGTTCCATGCCCCGGCCCACGGAGGTATCTCTGCAGGACCGTTCTGGCCCAGGCAAGATTAACCTTGCTGACCGCTGCTGTAAACAATACACCCTAGCCCTCAAGGACTGCCCGAGCCACCTATGGCACTCATTAAAGATCTCAGTAAACACCCCCTCAAAAATCCACACTTGGCTTGGGTGGGAGTGGGGAGCCATGTCAAAACTATTTTTGTGTTACACCACAGCCCCAAAGCGCAGCCATTTTGTGATCGGTGCCCATAGCACTTTCTTAAGTGCCAAATGTACTCACTGGTCCAAAAAAGTTGGTGACCCTTAAATGCACAATACAGTTAGTAATATACCCAGCTCTCAGTAAGTAAGTCGCCATCATATAGGCCCTGTTGCAATTCGGGTGAGCATCTCCTTAACTTTTGTTACCTGCAGAGAATGGCAGGAATGCTTCCCTTTTCCGGAACTGACCATTCTCTAGGAAATGGCCAGGATTAAACTCATTGGGTGTTTCCCACTCATCCTCATCAAAGAGCACTGAGGTCAGGTTGGTGATCAATATGGTTCCCTGCCAAATAAAAAGCAGAGAAGTAGATTAGAAATGGCAAGGCGCTTTCACATATATTTGAATTTATAGCAGTACTAAGCCTCTATCCCCTGACAGAAAAAGAATATGTTCTGAATGCAATATTTACTTCTCATTATTAAGTAATTCATTCAAAGATTTCCCACAAAAGCACAGTTCCAATATAGATTTTAAAAGACATTCAAAGCCTGCTGGACTATGAAAATTCAGGGTTAGCAACACCAGATACTGGCTAATTTCTGACAGACTAGCTACCCATTCAAACTGAGACTGGTACAACTCTGGATTTAGACCAGAGGTTACCAACATGGTGGCCTCCAGATGTTTGGGGATACAGCCTCATCATCCCTGCCTGTTGGTCATGCTGGCAGGAACTGATGGCAGTTGGAGACCAACAACATCTGGATGGCACCATGTTGGCCTAATAAAAACAAAACAAAACAAAACAAAACAAAACAAAACAAAACAAAACAATAAAATAAAATAAAATTAAATAAAATAAAATAAAATAAAATAAATAATTTATTACTTATAGCCTGCCCATCTGGCTGGGTCTCCCTAGCCAATTTGGGCAGCTCTCAGCAGAATATTAAAAACACGATAAAACATCAAACATTAAAAGCTTGTGCTCTTTAGTGGAAGAGCAAAAACAAACAAGAAGAGCTTTATGTTCTTAACATTTACTTTGGGCACATGAAACCCAGCCAGTGTTGTGTCCTTAGTTGTTATCCGGGGCACATTCAAAGGCACAATGCTGCTCATCCTTTGAACTTCATGAACAACCGCATTGGTATAGGGCATGCTGTCCTTGTCACCTATCGCTGGCTGGCGAGACTGACCAATCACAGAATCTATTTCCGCTTGGACTCTGGCTGCAAATGAAGAAGATTAGCTTCAATACAAGAAGAACAGACAAAAACTGAGAGCTGAAGATTTCTAGTTGGAACGGTCCATCTACTGCCTAAATAGAATTGTTTTTACTGCACCGTTTATTGCAGCTTGCCAGATAGACAGTCCCCTCCCCTCTCTTCCCCTTCCACACTGTTCTGTGACCTCTCACAATCTCCTTGAACCTATTTTAGGGTGGGTGAGAGAGAAGTACAGGGAGAGGAGTGGAGGGAAGCCTTTTTGCACAAGTGAAAGTCCATGCTCACAGCTTCTGCTGACAGGACTCCTTCAGCGAATCCCGCCCAAATAAAATAAAATAAAATAAAAATAATAGAAGATTTATTTAAATGCTGCCCATCTGACTGGGTTGCCCTAGCCACTCTGGGCAGCTTCCAGCAAATTATAAAACCACAGCAAAGCATCACACATTAAAAACAGTTAAAGTATATAAAGCAGTAACATATACACAAACAGTTACATATTATTAATTATATATGCATATGATATAACAGTTAAAAGAACATCAGCTCATACATATAATCAATTCAGATCAAATGCAAAACAGCTAGCAACTGAGTTAACAATCTCCATTTAGAAGTCATGTTGAAAGAGGTACATTTTATGGTCAACTACTTGCTAAACGAAGTGTTGTGAATGAAAGACACCTATGATATTAACTGGCTTCAGTGTGGCATAAATCACATTATGATTCAGGAAGCAAAGCTTGAGGACATTTTGGTAAGGGATGCTATGGTTCGCATTTGAATTTCTTGCATTTGAACATCAAGTACTAGCACACATTTACAGTAAGTATACTAAGCTGTTTGTGCCAGCAGATGCCAGCACAATGGGATTCCCCCCCCTCTCCTCCCACTTCCCCTAATCTTTAGTAGTTGAGGAAGCACACACACACACACCCCAGAGCACCACACAGCGGGAGGAGACAGTAATGGTGTTATGTACTGAAGTTCTCACCCTGGCCACCAGGAGTATCATGTACAGTGGTACCTCAGGTTAAGTACTTAATTCGTTCCGGAGGTCCATACTTAACCTGAAACTGTTCTTAACCTGAAGCACCACTTTAGCTAATGGGGCCTCCCGCTGCCGCCGCGCCGCCGGAGCACAATTTCTGTTCTCATCCTGAAGCAAAGTTTTCAACCTGAGGTACTATTTCTGGGCTAGCAGAGTCTGTAACCTTAACCTGAAGCGTATGTAACCTGAAGCGTATGTAACCCGAGGTACCACTGTATATAGTTTTCACTCAGGTCCATGTCAGTTACTTTAGGCAGGAAACCATGGGTTGTTGTTGCTACAATGTTGACAGCTGGCTGCCTGTAAAAGCAGGCCGGCTGAGCTGTTTGCTGCTCAGTTCTGTTCCAGCTTACAAATAAAGAGCTGCTTTGGAGAAATTGCTGTGTCGTCTGCTATGTCTACCCATTATTCAACACTGGCGATGAGGAAATGGGATCATAATTTGAAGTTGAATTCCACCCTATGTATCTCCTTTCTGTATTTGCTTGAGTTGATTCAACAAAATTAATTAATCAGTTTACATAATAACATATTAATACGACTAGATCTATTGCATTTTTAATCACCCCAGAAAATATCCTGAGGCAGACCACAGAACATCATTCATACAACCTAGCTCCCATTCTAATTTTGAATCCCTAAGAGAACAAAAACATTTCTACATTTTGCTATGAAATTACCTTATTGTAGTTACTATTGAACCTATAGCTTAGACTAGAGGCAAGGATTCATGGAATCATAGAATTGTAGAATTGGAAGGGACTCCAGGGTCATGTATTCCAACCCCTACAATACAAGAATCACAGCTAAAGAATCCTTGGTAGATGGTCATCCAAGAATGTCCACCACCTTCTGAGGTGGTCCATTCCACTGTCTGAAAGCTCCTCCTAATATTTGAATCCAGGCCTTACCCTCTGCAGTAACAGAAAACAAACTTGCTCCATCTTCCGCATAACAGTCCTTCAGAGATTAGAAGATGGCTATCATATGTCCTCCCATACCCAACTCCCTCAACCGTTCGTCAGATGGCTTGGTTCCAGACACTTGATCATCTGTGTCACCCTCCTCTACACACATTCCAGCATATCAATAGCCTTCTCAAACTTTGGTGCCCAGAACTGAAATCAGTAGTCCAGTTGGGGTCTGACCAAGGCAGAACACAGTGGTTCTATTACTTCACTTGATCTTATACTGCTGTTGATGCAACCTAGAATTGCATTAGGGTTTCTTTTTCTTTTTATTTTGCTGCTACTGCATCACACTGTTGATTCATGCTAAGACCCCCAGATCCTTTTCACATGTTCTGCTGTCAAGCCAGATATCTCCCATCCTATATCTGTGTATCTGGCATAGTAACATACCAACATGGCATTGGGAGCTCATCCAAAAAAGGGAACGGTAGAATTCAGCTTTTGTTTCCTGGAGGTACTCAATGGTACGAACCACCAGCAACTTTTTAACGGATATGTTAAAAGTGTGGCACTTATTGTAACAACTTCATGGTGCGTACTGGCACCTTTTTTCCCCCTAGAAACAAAGCACTGGTGCTATTCAATGTTAGTCATACTCATGGAAAACAAATTGAACTTAATAGTCTATAGGTTACATTGCTTAATTGCAGTAGATTTACTCCAAACCCAAAGTAATCAAAGACAAGTAAGCAAATGATGGCTCTACCTTGAATTTCCGGGAAAATGGCCATGTAAAGCAAGGCCCAGCGCAGGGTTGTAGAAGATGTTTCTGTTCCAGTAAGAAAGAGATCCAGTGTTGATTGTAGGAGGTTGTCTTTATGAAAACTGGAAGCAGCATCCTCCTTAAAACAAAGAAAATGCACCAAAGGGTTCATCTGTCATTAAAAACACCATCCCAGTTTCAGTCCTATATATTAAGTGATGACAATGAGATTCATGAGCTATATTCCTGACAAGTGTCCTGGATCTAGCACTGCCAAGTCAACAGCCCTGTGAATCTGGTGGATTTCAGGCACTGGACAAGTGGTGATGGGTCACCCCTGGATATACATTATTTCATATTCATGTATATGCACTTGTACACACATGCACCCTCACCTCTTTGGCTGCTTTCATACAGAGCCAATGGAAAATACAGGGTAAGTTCTGGTCCTTTAGATTTTGTCTCTGCTTTCTATTACTGCTACTACACAAACTATACTTTTTGTTTCTTACCGTGGCCATTTGATTTAGATAGGCATCTATGAAGTCTCTGGGTTCAGATGGGTTCTGGTCTTCTTCATGTTTTTCAACGATTTCTCCCACAAAGGATTTCAGTTCTCCCCAGTTTCTTTTAACGGTCTGATGGGGCCCTGGCAAGTGCTTCATGAGAGTGGGAAATGCATTGTACAGCTGAGGAAACAAATACTAACATCAGATTTGTGCGGGGAAAGCCCTCTCATAACAGTTGCAGATCATGCTACTATCAAAGGAGGTAGCAATCCATGAAGATGGCTACCTGTTTGAAAAATGCATTCCCCTTGACTGATGATCTCAGGAAAATGGTGCCAATGTAGTTTTCTCATTTGGTGATGCCTATCTGCATGGGGGCCTTTCACAGATTCTAATTGGTAAGAGGGGAGTGTGGAATTAAGCCGTGTATGCCCTTTGGGATTGCATCACTGTGTTCATTGCAAGACATGCTCTGGATCTTAAATCCAGTTTATAAACAGGCCCTACCTTTGGTATTTTAATAGATGATGTGAAGACAAGACAAGATGTCAAGGGAATATGGGATGGTGTGCGATGCACAAAGGGAAAAAAGAAATAAGAAGATAAAGAAACATGAGGGCCAAAAGCAAATCAATGAACAGTCAACAAAAATGTGTGAGTGTGCCTGGGACCAGAAGACTTACCTGAGTCCACATACTTCCCTGAAGATACATTATCTCATCAAGGAAGAGCAATAACTTCTGGAAATTACTGTCATGGTAATCAAAGCGGTCCCCAAAAGTGACAGAACAAATGATATTTGAAACAGCATTATTAATCTGAAGTTTAGGGTCAAATGGCTGCCCTGGAGAGAGAGAGAGAAATGGAGAAGGAATAAGACTGCTTATGGCTTCCATGTAACAAAAACAGAAGGTGGTGGAAGTTGGTGTGTCTGGACAGAGTAGGGGGGGGCACAGCAGATGTTCTTCAGCTAGAGGATGTCTAGATGGCACAGTGGAAGAATTTTATACTTAGGGGAACATGCTAAGGAAAACTGCACAGCTATAGGTATAAGCTTTCTAGCACATTGTTCTGTGAGATTTTATATCTATGTTGTTTTGAGGTTATGAGTGCTAGCCCCCTTGAATCCCTGGAGGCAGCAAGCGTTAAAACATAAGGCAGGCTAGCTGCCTCATGAGGTGATCACCTGGGGGAAAGGCCCCTCCGTCAGACTGCAGTGAGAGAGTCTAGGGTAGACTTTGCAGGGATGTGACCTAGAAGTAAAAGAGCAAGCGGGAGAGTTTCAGAGCACAGTGTTTGATTTCTGTTTGAATCCAAGGCTTGTGGCTATGGGAGAAATAAGACCCACAATGGATATACCCCTGGGCTGAGTTTTACATTGATGCCCATCTAAAGCAGAGTTGCATTTGCACAAAGCAGCACTTGAAAGCTTCATACCATGACCAATGTATTTTTTAACCTTTCATAGGAAATAGGCTTTTTTGACTGTTTTGCACCTTTCTCAGCTTCAATAGCTTCCCTTAGGTATTGGCTCTCTTCCTGTATTCGTTCTTCTAAAGTCCTTTTACCCAAACCAAAGTTTCTGAGCATTGATATGGCAAATTTTCTCTGTTGTTTCCAGGTGAGACCATTAGAGGAGACCACTCCTAGATGGGAAGAAATAACAAGTGCATATCGCAAGGAAGAACATTTAACATTTAATTATAACATGGGCTATTTCCTTTAGGTTATTCTGCTTGCCTGTTTGTGTTGCTTTGGAAAGACTGAAGCAGGCTGGTTGTTTTTATTTGATTGCCATTAGTTCTGCTGCTGCTGCTGTTTGATTATTGTCTGTGGCTTGGTTGGTTTTTGTTTTTTACTGCTTGGGTTGCGTTTTGGAATACAGTTGGCCCACCATTTATGTGGGAGTTTGGTTCTGGGGGTCTGTGTGCAAAGGCAAATTCTAGGAATCCCAAGAGCCAACACCACCCCACAAAGTGGGGGGCTACCTACTGGGCTGTAGGAAGGAGCCCCAAGCGCTTCCTTGGGCCTGATACCTCCCCCAAGCCTAGTAAGCAAGGAAAGCCCACTGGGTGTGTAGGTGGAGGAAAAAAGAATAAATGGTAAGTGGAAATGGCAAACTTACTTATTTATTCTACCCCACCCCACCCCGCATAATGTTGCTGGCTCCCTGTACTAACTTTATGCTGTCCTTTGAATTTTTTTGGGAACTCTGATAGATAGGCAGCATATGTTTAGAAATACACAAAATGGAGTAAATGCATAGGAACAAGTAAAGCAGTCAATATTTTTTTTTTACAAATGTCCCTTCTACACTGAAGCCCTTTAGGCCACTCTGGCATTCCTTTTCTGGATTAATGGTACCTGTTTATATGGCCTTGATTATTTAATGATAATTCTGTTTTTCTCTATTTATTTTTGCCTTTTTGATTAGATAGGAGCTTTCACCAGGAAATGATGAGATTATACCAAATGATGATACAGAAGCGTATTTCTGAGCTAGAAATAAATAAATAAATTTAAACAATTGGCCGTAATTTAAAGTAACTCACCCAATGACCTACTGATTTCCTTGGAAAGAGGATCAACTGGACGATCTATGAAGTTTTCACCCTGATGGACAAGAGCTTCCTTCACCAGATGCAATCCATTCACAATCACGATCCATATTTTCCCAACCTGAATGCTGAAGACATTGCCATATTTTTCTGCCAGCTGGAAGGAGAGGAAGAATGCAAGAGAGGATAAAATATCTCTATATAATCTATATTGATATTCTATATTAATTTACCTGTCTGATGTTTATAGAATGCCAATACTGTATGGAACAAGCAGACTTGGTTGCAATCAAATACGTACATCGGGGCAGCAGAGATGTCAAAAGTGTTTCCTGGGCCCAGTTCACTGTGCATGGACAGACTCCTTCCATTCTTTGCCTGCAATCTATTGACAAGAGCTGCTGCTTCTGCACATATGTTAATTTAGCCTAGTCTACCACACAGAGATCATAGAACCAAAGAAATGTAGAGTTGGAGGTGACCCTGAGGATCATCTATTCCAACCCTCTGTAATGCAGGTATATGCAGCTGTTCCATATGGGGATCAAATCTGCAACCTTTGCTTTCTCAGGATCATGCTCTAATGTTGCTCTAAAGTACATGGGACATAGAGAATTGAGTGGGGCACCACAAAATTCCTCCCCTCTTTTTGCAAGGGAGTCAATTCTGAGCAAAACCTTTTCAAGCCAGTCAGTTGTGTTTTATTCTATAAAGGCAGAACACTAAGGGAGTGGAGGAAATAATGTAAACACAAGAAAAATGCTTTACGTACTCAAGTCTCCTCCATCCATCCATCCAGCAGCAGCAACAAGAAGCTTCAACTGTTTTGTTTATAACTTCCTTTAGAAATGTCTGATTTATTTCAAAAAGACAGCTTGGGGTCCCTGCTGGCTTGGAGTCCTGTACATGTGTACCCCCTGTAGCCCTCTAGAGTTACTACCTTTGTTCTCGCAAAATACAGGAGAGGATGAGGGAGGAATTGAGGGTTGCTGTTTTTTCACCTAGTACTGAAATGACTTCAAAGCAACTCATTACAATCTATTGCAGCCGAACACTATGGCCCCTCTGGAATTTGTCACATGAACACACACACATACACACAAATTTGTAAATCTGTCTGTGCTTTCCTTCCCAGATCTTAAATACATGACTTTTCACATATATGCAGTACTGCACAGCAACAGATGCAGGCCTGGGCAATAAACAAACAAACATGAGGTGATGAGCTTTGTTCCACATGTTAAATTTCTGAAAGAGAGGGAATATTAGGTGGTGGGGCGAAGGACAAGCCTTGTGGGGAGCTACCTCTCCCCCACCCTCCTCTTTCAAATATCATGCAGATAACTATGTTCAGAACTGGTGTTTCTGGGCTACACTGACAGAAAACTACTTGTTCCTAGAGCCTTGGAACCTGTTGCTCTCTAGGAGATAGGGCTCAGTGATCCTAGGCTGGGAACTGGAAGCAGCTACGTGAAAGCCTTGCTCCTCCTCAGGGGTGGAATGAAGAGAGGGAGCAAGGAGAAAAAAGGAAAGGGAAGAAGTGAAAGATGTTTTTCTCCAGCCCAGCTGGCAATGCCTTCCCCGTAGAAGTGTGGGTGAGCATTTGGAGAGGATCCCTAACATGGCAGGGAGAGGGAGTGCAGCAAATACAGGACACATTGTGTCCAGTATTGAGGACGTCACATTTTACATTGAAATACAGGATGATCTTGCATTACACAGGACAGGTAGCAACGCTATACCCCTCTGTCAGCAACTCCAAGGGATAGCCAATGTGTTTTGGACCACAACTCTCATGAAACCCAGTGAAGATGGGCAGCGGTAGGGGATGATGGAGGTTGCAATCCACAAATTCTGGCAAGCGCATTAGCGGCCCTGGAAATACATGGTCTGAAGATAAAGCAACAGGACAAGAAAGCTTAAGGATGCTATTATTCCAATTTCAAGGCATCACTCGTGGTTTTTGCTAATCTATCAAAACAGTGCCTAAGGGTCAAATACAAGGAAAACAAACTGACCTCTGAACCAAGGAACTGGACAGAGCTCATTACCTTACTCATGCAAATATGTGGCTCATAGCTCTGGACTTTTTTTTTCCCTGCCCAGAGCTAGAGGTAAAAGGCAGAAGTGGTGGAAATAACCTGCTAACAAAATAGAATCATGCAAACAACCATCCTACCTTTTATGGCAGGTGTGGACACAGGTTTGTTACCAATGACTGTTAGGCAAAATAGATCCCCCAGATTCAGAGGCCATACACATCTGGATGGAACAAACCACAGGAGATGGAACAAACCACAGGAGAAGCTGTGGGCTTCTCAGAGACCTCTGGCTGGCTGCTCTTGGAATCAGGATGTAGACTAGGGCATCTAAACCTCATTTTCCAGTGAGGTTTCTACGCTCCTTTCCACTGCAATGTTACCTGTTTTCTCATCATCTGGTTCATTCCTTCATTCTTACCTTCCGTGCTGCCAAATGTGGGTCCTTTGCACCAAAATGTGGTATATTACCCAGCAAGGGAAGAGGCCTGGGCCCTGGGGGGAAATCCCTTGGACGAATCCTTTTCTTGTAATCAGCAAGAAGCAGAAATATTGCCAGAAACACCAGAACGATTTGCAGGGACAAGGCCTCCCAGAGGACAGAGAGCAACTGGAGCAGCATCTTGGAACCTTTCAAGCCTTCCTTTGTCGGAGCAGACTGTTTTCTGTTGGGAGAACAGAAATCTGATCCCAGGAGAGCAGTCACACCTCTCCTCTAGGCTAGGGCTCCTCTGAGAAACAGGAGTATGCAATCTGTACATTGTTGTACATCACACCCACAAAGAGATAAAAGCGAGATGGCCTAATGAGTAACTCTTCTTAGACAGGAGAGGGAAGGTAGCTTTCTGAATCAGAATATTTCCTTCGTGTTTTCACTTTTATTAAAAAAGAATATATTCTATTACTTTTTCCACAGGAAATAAACTTTACTTAAAATACCATAAGCAACAACGATAGCAGTTTGTCATTTCTTGGGGGAAAGCATAATAGTGCCTTAAAGTTGGAACCACTATTTAAAACACGTTTATGATGCATATTAAAGTCTCTAACCAATACAGTTACTCTAGGCGTTTCTGTGGGTCTGGGTTGGTTCATAGAATCTTAGAGAATCATAGAATCTTAGAGTTGGAAGGGACCCAAGGGTCATCTAGTGAAACCCCCGATCAATTGCCTCGTCTCATACAGGAGAAGAGTGGGTCCCAGGTGTTACCAAAAAAGAGAAAAGATTCTGAGGGTCTGGGGAGTGTGTCTTGATTGATCATCTCATCTCATAAAGGATAGGTGTTACCCCCCCCCCAAAAAAAGATGAAGGACTCATCTTGCCTCTGGCTGCTCAGACCCAACAGGTTAAATTTCACTTGTTTTGAAGAGTCAAGATTAGTATCTTAGCTGACATTTGTAGAAGAATTATCTGCAAGTGCAAATCGATACAAGCACTTTGATATTTCAGATCAGAACAGGTTCAGCAACTCTGTCCTCTTGCTAAAGAGTCAGAGGAATCATCTTGCTTGTCTTCTGTTCATTACTGCATAGATTAGAAACGGTCTTAGGCTGGATTATCATTTGAGGAAGATTGTAACCAGCAGAACCATATGAGGACTGCCTAGTAGCCTACTCCATTTTCTAGAGTGGTAATAGTCCATTATATAGGGAAAAGAAGCATATTGGGTCCTAATCAGGTAGACGACAGCGATATCTGGTACAGATTTTGCCTTGGTCACAAAGAGATGAAATCAGGGATGGGGAACCAGTGACTCTCCAGATGTTTTTGGACTCCAGCTCTAAGTAGTGCCAACCAGCACATCCCATAATCTGGGATGGAGAGAGAGGGGTGCTGTTTACTGTCCCTTGCAGTAAGCAGCAGCAACTCTGCTCTTGGGAGGTCAGGGTAGTGCTACCCCATTATGCCAAGCCATTAGCTTTCAGCCTTTGTTCCCCGTGTCAAATAGAAGAATCTTAATACTCATCACCATCAGCTGGAGAGGGGGTGGAATTCCAACTACAGCTGTACCTCAGAAGTCCAACAGAATCCGTTCCGGAAGTCCGTTCAACTTCCGAAACATTTGGAAAACAAGGCGCAGGCGCGCCAGAAACTATAGCAGAAGCCGACCAGATGCTCAGCTTCCAAAAAAAAGTTTGCAAACCGGAACACTCAGTTTTTGATCATTTGAAAGCTGGAACGTTTGACTCTCAAGGCATTTGGGAGTCAAGGTACAACTGTACTGAACTGCAATAATAGCTTAACTGCTGTACTTAATTGCTACTGCCTCTGTGTGCCTGGGGGACCTGCCCATACTTTTGAATGCATTGCAGGTGAAAGGTGAAGAACCAGTGTCTGCAAGCTGAGGCAGCCTGGACTGCTGCTGCGGGAGGTCATTGTATGTCAGCTCAGGCCTCTGGGAATGTCAGCAATACAGGCTGAAGCAGCCTTCAATAATTATTTTTAATTGCAACTCCCATCATCCTTGGCCATTACCCAACCTGCACGACTCAACTACGTTTTTTTAAATCATGGCAACAACTAATTTGGAAAGTAATATAACCTATGGGAAATTCAGGAACCACAATTCATCTTAAAGCCCATTGATCTCACTATATTTATAAGCACATTTAAACTCTGTGTTGGGATTGAGACCAACAGTTCAGAACAACAGAAACTGGTTACATGCCAAGGGAGGTGCATGTCCATTCATGCAGCTGTTGATCCAAGTTAACTCTCTACCACTTCATTGCAGAACATGCCTTGCAAAATATTCTAAGCCCTATACGGCCTAGGACCCTCATACTTATGGGACTGCCTCTCCTGGTATGTCCCGCAGAGGACCCTAAGGTCCATGGATAATAATAGCTTAAAGATCCTGGGCCCTAAGGAAGCCAAACTATTCTCCACCAGGGCCAGGGCTTTTTCAGTGACAACTCCGACCTGGTGGAATGCTCTCTCCCACGAGACTAGGGCCCTGCAGGACTTGATCTCTTTCCGCAGGGCCTGTAAGACAGAGCTATTCCGCCTGGCCTTCAATTTGAATTAGCCTGATCGTCTTTTCCCCTTTCCCCTTTCCTCTTCTATGACGAAACCCTTTCTGGGACCCCACGTTTAAATTCTTCCCTGGTCTCCTTGCTGGCCCTAGTAGGACCAACTTGGCCAGTTAGCCTTGGTGATCATTTGATGTCTACTGACTGGGTTCCTTCCCCCCCCCAAAAAAATGACCCCTGAATTCTTGAACTTTATTGATATTGATGCTGCATTTTATGTTGTATTTTATGCTGTTTTAAGTCACATTTTATATCTGCTGTTAGCCACCCTGAGCCCGGTTTTTAAACCAGGAAGGGCGGGGATTAAATAAAATAAAATAAAATAATTTTATTATTAGCAGGGCATTCCATTAGAATTTTATCGTGAGTTGTGACCACACTCATTCCTGCAAGCAAACCACAACCTTACCACAGCCATGGCTGGTGCTAGCTTACAGCCAGGGCCCCCAAGAGCTCTCAGGACCCCACTGTTTTGGACCCAACCTGCAGCGACAGCACAACCACCACCATCTACTGCCTGCCCTCTTCTATATTTATAAGCACATTGAAACTCTGTGGTGGGATCAAGGCCAACAGTTCAGAACAACAGAAACAGGTTACATGCCAAGGGAGGTGCACGTTCATTCATGCAGCTGTTGATTCAAGTTAACTGTTTACCACTCCATTGCAGAACGTGCCTTGCAAAATATTCTAATTTTATAAGCATATGCAGTACATTCCATTAGAATTTTATCATGAGTTGTGACCACACTCATTCCTGTAAGCAAACTACAACCTCAACACAGCCATGGCTTGTGCTAGCTTACAGCCAGGGCCCCCAAGAACAGGACGGATTGGAGCTGCACAGGAAGACGTGTGCTACAGCACTTGGGTGTGCACTTCAGTACTATGGCACCCTGTGCAAGTCCAAAATTTGGCACCCCCTCCAGCACTTTCCCAATGGCTCTGGCAGGGCCCTAGAGCCCCCCCTTCTTCCCAAAGCTGGGAAAGCACTAACTAGGCTTTAGGAAGGAGGCAGGAGGACTCGAGTACTCTGTCAGAGCTTCATGCCTCCTTCCCAAAGCCCAGCTCTTGCCTCCCAAACTCATGGAACCAGAAGGTGAGCCCATGGGGCCCTGGGCTGCACCCAGTATAGGGGCTGGTCCCCACCCTGCAATGCCATCTTGGGGCACCCATGGGGCAAACTGATTGGAAGGTTTTATCTCACCCAACAGAGCAGGTGCTTGCTGATTCTCTGGCGCATGCACATGGGCCTCAAGCTCTTCTTGCATGTGTTCCTCAACCACCATATCCTCAGGCGCCGGCTTCTCTTCCTGCATGTTCACATGCACCTTCTATTCCTCCTGCTGTGCCTCATCTTCTGGCATCTCTGGAGGCACTGATTCCTCTTGCCAATGCAGACACACCTCTTGCATCTCGCCCTGCATTGCTAGCACACATGGAGAGCAGCTCTTCATGTCCATCTTGCAGCTCACACTCCTCTGAGGCAGTTTCCTCCTGCACCTGCTCTTCCACAGCAGGCTCCCAGGGGATGGAGAAATCAATCAGAAGCAGCCCCTCGGCTCCAGTCAGCTCACCCTTATCCAAGGCGTTGTCTTCCCCCTTGCCTTCAGCTACTCTCTGCATCTCTTTGCAGTCCCAGCCCCTCATCCACACTGGATCACTTTGGCCACCCCTTCCATCTGGGGGGCCTTGCAGCTGGGGTCCTCGATCACTTTCAACCTCCTGTAGCATCTCATCTGGCAGGACCCTCACCTTGTGTGGAGTCACACTTTTCTCTCCAAAAAGGCTTCTCACCACATCCCAGGAAGAATACATCGTTTTGATTGGCTTAGGTAGGCTGATTGTCATGGAGGGCTACCATTGTCCTGCCCACCCTAGCTTGCTATAATCTTTAGCTTGCTTTCCCCTGCTCCATGATGTCCTACTGAGAAACAAGGTGAGGGACTGGATAAAATAACCCACTGCCCTGTTAGAATATTCTAGAAAAAACTTGTTAATTGGCTTGAACAAGTTGCTAGGCAACAGAAAATTTCCCCAGCAACAGGTTCCTAAAAGGCAACTTTTCAATTATCTATATTTAAATTTTCCAGAAGCTGCAATGGTATTTGAGGATAATCAATCATGTATAAGTATGACCAAATCAGAAAAATGTAGACCTAAAACAGAACACTTAAATATATGCTATACGCGTATGAAAGACTGCATTTTTAAAGGGTGGATCGAGCTCAGGTATTGATCCACAGAGTTTATGATGGCAGACATTTTTACAAAGCCTTTGACTGCTGTAAAATTTAAAATGCTGACAATGGAATTGTGTCTTACTGAGTAAAATTAAATTAAAATAAAATTACCAGGTGTTCAAGGCAGCATTTCAAGTTAGGAGGGCTGTTGAAACTTGAAACTTGTAAATGGCCCTGAACAAGTTGCTAGGCAATGGGGAATTTCCCCAGCAACAGGTGTCCTTCTCAGGGCATGCAATCAACTAAATCTGGGTCAGTGTAAATGAGTATGTGAATAAGTCAGCGTTAGGTCTCTAGCCAGATGGCTAAAAAGAGAGAAAGACTGTGTTTGTTTCTTTATTTGTTTTTTCTGTATTAATGACCAGTGTAAAGTTTTGTAAATAATAAAGACTCAGAAACATAACCAAATGGTGTTTATTCTCGTAATGGGCATTTCACTAAGAGATAGCTGGAATGCTGCTGCTGCAGTAAAGAAGTAAAAGATGGAGTTCTTTGTAAAAAGAACTCTGCTGCAGAAAGAAAAGAAAATCCAAGAGTAGATGCTCACACACCAACAAGTCATTTCTATGGGAAAGAGAAACTGGAGACAGGGGAGGGACATGCAGGCAGTGGTTGTTTTGATTGGCTAAGCCACTGAAATAGGCAGAAGTGTCTAGGCAACCTCTCTGTTGGTAGAAGTGAATTAATAAAGACTGTGGGTGACAGGAAAAAGACTGAAGGTTTTGGGAGCTCAAAAATCTTGTGATTCCTTGCTTGCATCCTATTTCTACCTAAAGCTCCCTGAAAATTCTCCTCCTTCCTGAATAACAAGCCAGTAGTTCATCTTATGTTGTCTGTATTCCTTTTAACTT